CCAACCGCTGTGATGAGGCAGAGATTTGAAGTGTCGGCCAAACGGTATAACAAAACAAAAATCAAACTCGAGCTTGGCTCAACAGCTTAGCGAAGAAGGAACTGTCGGCTCACGATAACAGTAGGTAGGTAGTGGCGATGAACCACTCACCACATATACACGCGTCGCAGGTTATCTTAATGACCTTGTTTGTGTAACACGTGGCATCTTAATGACCCGCTAAATGCTTATTTAATCTTCGATGGATGGCGCCACCAACGAAGGTTCTCCCAAAAATCAGAATAATGGTGATGTAATCAGCATCCAGATTCCCGCCACGTGTACCCAAAGACCGCTCATCATGTGAATTAGTAATTGAGTACGTGGTTAGTATGGTCGTTTAGAAAGAAAAAAAAAAGGTTGGTGGTATATTATGGTATGGGATTGTTCAGAGCAGTTGTTCAAAGTTGATGAAGAAATGCAATAGACATCTATCTAACCTCCACAACTGCATAGTTAAAATATTGTAATTCAACAATCTGATTAACCTATGTTTGATATATAGATTTGAAACAAGATACTTGTTTGAATAAATGCATGCAAACGATTTTCGTGGTTATTGAGTATATGTGTTGAGTACGGATGGAAAACGCGAATACAAGGCATATTTTGTAAGGTTAGATAATTGGAAATTTGATTTCGATTTACTGCTACAAAGAGAATTGTTATTGTTTGATAAAGTAAATTTATACATGTTTACATTTCACACTGGCAAATTAGTGTGCAGATTGCCCTGCCAGAGATGCAAAAAGGAGACTTAATTATGGTACTTCATCATATGTCATTTCCAATTTCCCATGGCCGAAGTTGCAACTTCAATTGAAAGTCAGCCACACTTCCCCTTTCCCTCTGCCATCTTCCATTATATAGAACATGAAAGCTGGGTACGCTTTTTCACCCATTTTTGTTACCACTGTTTCAATTCTTGGCTTCTTGTGGGAGGCGAGTAGAAGAGCTTCCCCCACGCACTTCCTTCTCCGACCCCCAAATGCCATATCTCCTCTTTCCTGCCTTCTCTTATGCCTTACCCTAGATTCAGTGACCGCAAGTTAGTGCCCATACCTTGCAGGCAGCAATATAGAGATGGTACCATTCCTAGCTGCTTTGGCCCCAAAATCAGCATTCAGCCAGTAGTGTTTCAGTCATGTCTGTCTTTTTACCATCCACCATTCCTAGCTGCTTTGGCCCCAAAATCAGCATTCAGCCAGTAGTGTTTCAGTCATGTCTGTCTTTTTACCATCCATTCCGCTTTTCCAGATTTTCCAATCCCTTCACAACTGCTTGCACACGCCACCGCCCATCAATTCGGCAGCTCTCGCTTTGGGGAAGATTGATATCCTATGCCTCACCCCGTCCAGTTTCTTTCTCCTTCATATTTGATTCTTTTGTTGCTTTGTTCCCATTTTCACCCAAATGCTTCGGCCAATCCTCTGATCCACTCTTGCCTCTTCTGCTTCCAGGCATGAATCACACCGTCCTTTCGAAGTTGGCATGGACGGACAAAGCTCCTACCCTCAAATTACGTCTCCTCCATACATGGATGGCTGGAAACCCGTACCAGTCAGAAGGCTTCTCTGAATACTTACGCTTTCGACAGGCGAATTGGTGACCTCTATCCGTTGTTGGTTTCTTCTACCCGGCACTTATACCTGCCCATTCTTATTTTGATGTTTCCTCTTCTTTTCCTAGGGGTGCTGGGACTGAAATTGACGCATCTCGCGGCCCAGCTCAAAGAAGTTCTTGCTGTTCGGAATCAAACAGTTCTCCCAGTGTGAGTCCAGAAAAGGTTCGGCACCCTGCTCCAGTGGTGTCTTCTCCATTTTACTTCAAACCCTTCATGTGTCCCCTTAGATGATGAGGACTCGAGCTATTGTCCTGATAGCTTTCAGTTTTGCCAGTTGAGGACCTATCCGACATCGCTTCTCGACTTGACAGTTAGTTGGTTTGTCTTCGGTCCTTTCCTTTGAGCTTATTCGAGTTTGGACTTGCCTACTAAACCAAATCCTTTTCGTAGATGTTGTTGGTAGGTTGGTATCTACAACGCCTGTCACCTGTTTCCAAAAACAACGGATAGTGATTCACTCCTACTGATTCAACACACAGAAAGCTCAAGCCAAAATTCAGGTTGGTTCCTTTCACTCACAAAGTTATGTAAGCCTAACTTAGTCACCTGTTACTGAGTCTTATGCAAAAGGAAGCAGTACACTGAATGTGTTCTTGCTGCCGATCCTTTTAGCAGCCTTTCAATGACAACATTGTACTGAGAGGTAAGCTGGTTTTATGAGTAATCACTGTCCATACACAACATAACATTTGTTGATTACTGATTGTCAAACGTTGCTACTTCACAGCTTTTTTGTGTTTACAAAATGTAGCTATAGTGGTCTTTGATTGAAATTATTTGTATTGAGATGTGAAAACTGATGCATTCATTTGAAGAAAAGGAATCCAAAAGAAAAACACACTTAAAGATGCTGCAAATGACATTGAAATCTTCACCTTTAGTGAACTGGGTCTCTTATTTTCCATATGAAACGTTGCATTTGGGAAGGAGTACACTCTTGCCATATCCGAAGTTCTTTAGTTCGCAGAGTAGTCTGTGATCATGCTTGCATATTGTTGTACATGATACTCGATTAGAGTTAATTAGTTAGCTGAATGCATTAAGAACTTTGCTCTCAAGAAAAATCAAATGCAGCCTCTGCAGCAGGCATTGGGGATGCTCTGAGACAATAATAATGGACTTCCTGGTATATGCTCATCAGAGGAAGAGGTCCAGGATCCTGTATATCATTTTAAGTAACAATTTCCATGGGTTTCGTAACAAATTGTTTTGCTTTTCATTGCTTCTTTTTCTTAATGATTTATACCTTATGTTTATCCTAGGGCGTGCTGGTGCAGGAAGTGGCATCCTGTTAGGTCACTGAACAGGTTCTCAACGTTTTATGCCTGCGATTCATCAGCTTAACTCTACTAGATTTTCATGCTCATTCTCTCTCAATGACGGTTTCTTTTTGTTATTAATTATTGGATTGACTCATAGGAACTGTTTTATCTTTGTATTGTTCGACTTATGTGAACCAGGCTTCGGTTTTGCAGCAGGGAGATACTGACTGGTTGCTAGCATACTGGTTTAGGCTGGGGATGATATTTCTATTATGGTCTTGACAAGGAGGCCACAAATGTTGAAGAACATGTTGATCTTTGACCTTGGTGGTAGTGCGTTTGATGTTTCCCTGGTAACAGTTGAAGAGGGTATTTTTAAAGTGAAGCGAGTTGCTTGAGACACTCACCTTGGTGAGAGGATTTTGACAGCAGATTGGTCAACCACTTAGACTAGGAGTTCACGAGGAAGAACAAGGAGAGTCTTCCTATAATCTCTTTGCTTTTTTCTTGACTGAGATGTCATCCAATTTTGGATTAACTTCTTGAATTGTACATAGCTTTATGCTCTGATTATTCACCTATGCTTGCAGTGTATATATACATACATACCATGATTCAAGCAATTAGCATATCAGGTTGGAAGTTGGGTTTGTTTTGCCCCTCCATCCTGGTTGCACTATTGTCTGTTCTATTCCTATCAAGTGTGTCTAAAAACAAAAACTTATGAAATAGCCTATATTCATTCAATTTGTACTCTTGATTCTTTCCTAAGGGCTTCTAAAAATGCATGATACACCAGCATTGTATGCCGTGGAATAAATAATATTATTTAATTGTTGTTTGTGCCATACATTGCATACATGACACCCATAGATTTATTGGATGCTATTGTTTTAACCTATAAAAATATTTTTTGGTAAATTGATTGCTTGAAAACCTTGCCAGTTGCCCCGTTCTCACCAAAATCCTCGCTGACTGGTAATATACAAAAACCCAATGACTGTCAAAAGGAAAAGAAAAGAATTAGACTTCCCACAAGGTCCAGTGTACCATCCTTCACCTTCCCTCTGACTTCTGAGAGCATGAAATACAAATTTTTAACCTTCCTTCTCCCTGTCGAATACTTTTCCCATACTATTCCCTATCCAGTCACACCCATACCAAATTTCTACCATCCAGAATCATCTCTCCATCACTCTTACGCCATCAACTTCTTTTCTTTCTAATAAGCCAAACTTCCATTCTCTCATCACTAATTGTTGGATGTTGCAGCAGTGGTGGATTGGTTTCAAACTTTGAAGCACAATCTAATAATAAATGTCTTAATTCTCAACCAATACTACTCATTCTCCATTACCTTGTGATCTCTTATTTGGTAGTTGTAGCTTGAGTTTTAGTTGTCTTCTGATGTTCACTTGCTGTTTCTTTGCATGAGATGTTTAGAGTGCATTATGAATGTTGGAAGATTACTGCCTTCTTAGACAACTTTTTTTACAAATTGAAAGAAGATAGTCGGGGAAGGGGAAGAGGAACAAGGAAAAGAGAAGCATTAACATCCTTCTTTTCAATTGTCGTCTTGAAGCATGGGCAACTGATTTGGGAGTTGAGAATTTGAGCCAATCTTTTTGGTTGCTTTTTAATGAACTATTAACTAACTTTAGTAAGATGGGTATGGATTGATTGAACATGTGATATTAATGAATTTGATTTATAAAATATATTTTCTCTGGGTGGTCTCAGTATGGAACATAATAATCTAATATTTAGTAGAGTAAATGCATAAGATTTGCTTTAAGTTTAAAATAACGCTTTTCGCAGAGTTTAGTATGTCCTGATTTATGCTTTGTGAATAATTTTTATGGCATACTTGGTGTGCATAGTTTGTAACTATTTCATGTTACTATTATTGTATTTCTAAAAAAATACTACATTGCTCTAAACAAATCCTGTGGCGTAGGCACGGGTATTGATTCTAGTAGTATATAGTTTGCTCTCACTTTTTTTTCTGGTGTTCGACAAAATTGGGCACACTATTGTTTTCAAACCTTTGAAATCCACCTGATCATATTTATCATCATCATCATGGCTTATTTGCTTTCCCTTTTCTTTCTTTTTTTTCTTTTTGAACGCTTTGATTGTTGGTTTCTGAGGAGCAGAAATGGACACATAATATTATGCATCATTTTTATTTGAAAAACTCAACAATGCTTCTGCCCCATTAAACAAACACTTCACACAAGGAGTTAGGTCTGATTAACGAGTCCACAAAGTTGCTAATAATTGAGGCTTACCGATAATACCGATGTTGATTATCCTTGACCTTTTCCCCTAATCCCGACTGGGGAAAATTCTTCTCTTTTCTGTACAACCAAACAAGAAAGTAAGAAATAAAGAAAACACTTATTACTATAATGTTTTAACTGTGTATAATTATACAATGCATCCATCAAATTATATCAATCCAAGAACTAATAATCGCCTAGAAACTGTGTATAGTGGCAGAAGCTGTTGGAATTGTGCATTATCTTTACAACACGAAACAGCACTTACTGTTCTTAATACTATCCATGACCATGAGATGGAACGACTGATATAAAGATATAAAGTGACCTTAAAAAAACAAAAGAACAGCACTTTTACAAGTCACTAAAACAGAACCGCAAATTGCGTAATCAGTGTCTTCCAAATTGGCACACTAATAAAGACGGGGGAAAACAAAAATGTTGGGCAAAACTGTGGAAAAAGATTGTTGGTTGAATGTGATGTTGAACAAAGGAAAAGCAAATACAGAAAACAAGTGGTGCAATGAACTCCAATCCGATTAGCATGTCGATGCAAGACCTCTCGATCACATTAGGCTCTGATACCATGTCATAAACCAGTTGATCCCAATAACTCGAGTTGTTGGAAACGGTTCAATCGTAAATCATATACCACAACACTAACCGTTATAACATGATTCGTTAACCAACATACTCCAAAACCTTAATTCCCGGGGATGTTTAAGATTTTGATGTCTCATCTTCTTGTCTTGATGATGCTGAACTTAAAAAAGCACAAGGATCCCACTGAACGACTCGTTTCAACCTTAACAAAGCCACACAAAGAGAAAAGTAAAAAGTGTATCAGATAAACATAATGCATATGTATAAAGTTTCTTACGCATGTGGAATTGATCCTACAAACAGAGATTTAAGGAAAGGAAGATCTATATTGGATCTTCTGCTAAATTTCCATCGTAATCCAAAATCTGTAGGTCAACTTTCCAGCGTTAAGAATGGCTAATTTGAGTAAGAAAGCAGCTAGTGAGCCATGCTGATGTCAAGATATCCTAGATATAGATACAAATTATAGACAAAAGTATGATACCACTTTACTAGTATGATCGTTAAGATCTTAAGAGAATCCATCCATGAGCGAGTGGGAATTTACCATCTATGACTGCTTGTTCTCTTTAGCTCTCTTCCACTGTCTTTCCCTATGCGGAGGTGAAACCAGACACCAGAATGCTAGGACCTTCAATTCAGCCCTAGAGCTACCACTTGCACTGGTGAAAGATAATGTTGTCCTCGTCGAGTATGCAGGGTGGAAGGGAACTGGATTTGCTGTGCTATTCACAAAAATTGAAGGCACAACTCTCTCCTCATGAAGGCCACCTGCCCAAAAGAGCAACAAATGTCAACAAATATTTGGAAAACTAATCACAGATTACATCAGTCATAAAAAGGAAAAAGCCACATCATTGTTGAGCACACTTTTAGAAACACTGGGCAGTAACATAGTAGAATTTCTTTTTAAAACATCTAAGAAGTAGCAAGAAGTTGTTTTTGGGTAATTAAACTAACTATTAGAAAGAAAAATTGCTTTATACTTCACAAAAGAGGCATGTAATTAATACATTAGTATTTCTTGGAGATATAATTTCAAGGATGTGCCCTTCCACTTTGAAGTCACATTTTGAGTCGTGTACCTTCCTGCAGACCATCATTAGGTGTATCACCTGTTCAGGAAAGTGCCAACTGTGCAGATGCTTCTAGACTAGGCAATAGCCTATTCCATGCTTGTTGTGCACTGAAGCAGTTTGCAAGTTCATAAGCACTCAGAACTAGCCGGATAGCAATGAGCCACTGCCAGGTAGACGCCAAACCAGCCTATATTTAGTTTTGCAAGATGGGTGACTGGTATTCTTCATATTTGGCCGCAGGAATTCCAAGTAAGCTGATATCAGTGTTACCATCAGAGTTCCATTTCATCTCATTTGTCAACAAATCCAATCTAAAATAGATCTCTTTGACTTGTGGATGATCTTTTCCACTAGCAACAAAGTGATGGAATTTGTTATCAATCTCAATCCAGCTAACACCAGCCTCCTTGTGTAAGTTCAAGTCATTCATAATGGTCCTTACTCTAGCTGCCTCAGGTAACATTCCTTTCCCAGCATACATATTCGATACTAGTATATAAGATCCAGCCTCTTCAGGAGACAAATCAAGCAGATTTTTGGAAGCCAGCCTACCAATATTCATATCTCCGTGTAATTTGCAAACATTGACCAATGTTCTCCAAAGCAAAGGAGAACGAGAAAAACTGCTCTCGTTAATGATATCTACAGCCTCTGATAGATAGCCAGCATGGCCCAAAAGATCAATCATGCAAGAATAATGCTCAACTGATGGCTGAATACCATATTTTGACTCCATTGAACTGAACAAGTATATACCATCCTCCCACAAACCCGAGTAACTGCAGGCTTGGAGGATCGCCAATAATGTGATCTCATCAGGAGTGAAGCCTTCTGTCTTCATTTGTTCAAACAGAAGGAGTGCCTTTTGTCCTCTACCATGAAGACCATAAGCAGAGATTAAAGCATTCCATGACACAAGATCATGGCCATTGATTTCTTTGAAGATTTGATGAGCATCATCAAGGTTTCCACATTTGGCATACATTGTAATCATAGAGTTCGCCACAGAAACGTCCTTCTCATAACCTGTTTTGATAGCACAAGTATGAAGGGTCTTCCCACTTACTAAGGAAGGTTGAGTAGCAGATAAACTGAAGAGCCGTGAGAAAGAGACAGAATCAGGTTTGTTTCCATCAGATCTTAACTGGCTAAACAGAACCAAGGGATCTCCGTCATCAGCTCCACACTTGTCCATATACGCTGTTAGAAAGGCATTGAATGAAGTTGTACTCATATTTGAACTTACCATAACTCTTGCCAACTGCATGTTCCCACATTTGGCATATAATTCTATCAGAACAGCAACAACCTGAGGATCATGGAGATAACCCAGTTTTGCAATTAATGCATGGACTTGAGCTCCCAATTCTAACTTCTGCCATTCAAGACATCCATTGAGAATGGTAGAAAACAAGTTAGAGTCACAGTTGACACCAAGTCCTCGGAACACAAAGAACGCATCTAAAGCTTGTTGATAAAGACCATTCCTTATGTAGCTTGAGACAAGTGCAGTCCAAGTAATCAAATTCCTGTGGTTCATAGCAGAAAACACTGTCTCAACCTCTTCAACCATTCCATGTTTTCCATACATGGAAATAATTGCATTTCCAACTGACATTTCATCTACAAAACCAAACTTAATTGCAAGTCCATGTAATTGCCTACCTTCGTCGGCACCTAGATTTTCATTGCACATGCTAATCGCGTTAGTGAATGTATAATCATTTGGCTGCAAATCAGCATAAAGCAGATCCACGAAAGCCTCCATAGCCTTCTCACAACAACCCCCATTACCATATTCCAAAATCATGAAGTTGAAGCACCGAACATCTTTACTCGGAATGCTTCTATATATTTTCTCCGCCTCATTCAAATGCCCACTTCTCGAGTACATCGAAATCAAAGAAGTGCTCACAAAAACATTCTCCTCAAACCCATATTTCACAACAAAACCCTGAATTTGTTCCCCCAATATCCGATCCCCTTGTGAGCTACACGCCTGCAGAATCACAGAGCAAGTATGCTCGTTGAAATTTTCTCCCAGTTGATGCATCTTAACCACAGTTTCAAGCATGCCCGCACGGTCTTCATTATCGAAGTATCCCTTAATCAACGAAGTCCAAGTAATGGTATTTCTCACAAGCATTTCATCAAACACCTTCCTCGCTAAATCCATTCTGCCCAATTTCGAATAGAACTCCACAACATTATTGCCCTTAAACGGGTCATCCCCAAACCCTGATTTCACCAAAAACGAGTGTATCGCGAGACCCAGTAAGAAATCGCCGGACCTGGCCGAGAGCTTGAGCAGCTGAGGCCATTCACTCAACAGAGGGACTTCTTCGCAAGGCGACGCATCATCAAACAAAGAACATCCAGCAGTGATTCCTTGTTTTGATTTCATGGGAGTAATGATTTTGACATTTCTGGGACCGAAAGAGGACGCGGGAACGAGGTTCCTCGTTTTGAACGGACGAGGGAACGGCCGTTGGAATGGTGTGGCGGGAAGTAGGGTAGTCATGGAAAACGAACCTCTCGAATGGAATCTCGCCTCAGCTGTGTGCGCGAAGAACTGGAACCCAATAAATTGCAAGGTTGCTCACTAAGATTATTCAAAACTTTCAAGTTTGGTCACTAAAAATATTTAATTCCATTGGTAGTTACTAAAATTAGTTTAACTGTCCAAGTTTAGTCACTCCCCGTTAATCTCCATTAGTCTCCGTCAACTTCCGTTAAATTGAGTATGTTATTTGCTTATGTGGCTAACAGAATCGCCTAATTAGCCTAATTTAATCTGAAAAAAATTTAAACCCGACCCGCCACATAAACACAACCCAACCTGTGACTAGACCTGTGAACCAACCCTCTCTATCTCTTCTCTTCCCCTCTATTCTATACAATCTCTCTCTATGTTTCGTCTTCTATGTCGCCTCCACTCCCCAGCAAAGCCGACGCCGGGTATTTGCCTGTTCTTGCCTCGATCTGCTCTCGCCGATCTCGTTGCAGAATTTGGACCCAGACTCGCCGAGGGCAGTGAATGAAATCTTGAACAAAGATGGGATAAATGGAGGAGTGCTTTGATTCGGAAAGATCTGGGAGGAGTGAGAAGAAATGTAGAAATAGGGTTTTTGGTGAAGGGTTCTCAATGATTGAGGACCTTCGTTTTCTGATTGCTTCATATATATGTACAGCTCAAGTATTTACAGAAGAAAGGTAAAGTAACTAACGGCTAAATTGAAACAGTAAAAATGGAAAACTAACTTTCTAATCTAGCCTATAGAAGCTGTACACGTATAAGGCATAAAACAATAGCAACGCCCAAGTGGAACGCTGCCGTTCTGATCCTTTGGAGCAAAGCCTCTTCCTGCCTTTGAACAAGACCAGAACGACGACGTTCCTTTCCCTTGTGCTCCGTTCTTCAACTTCAGCAGCAGCTCCTCTGCAGTGTGTGATCTTCAATCCCAAGCTGCTGCTGATGCCATCTTGGAACTGATCGATTCTTCATTACGCCCCCTCAAGCTGGCGAGTATCTTCTGATACTCCCAGCTTGCTCAACAACATCTTGAATCGATCAATTCCCAGACTCTTAGTAAATAGATCTGCAATCTGATGAGTAGTGGATAAATGGTGCAAGCTGATCAATCCATTCACTACCCTTTCTCGAATAACATGGCAGTCTACCTCAATGTGTTTAGTCCTCTCGTGGAAGACTGGATTTCTGGCAATATGAATTGCCAACTGAATATCACAAAATAAGACTGCTGGTTGTGGATGGGGAATACCAAAATCATCAAGTAAACGAATAAGCCACTGCATCTCACAGCTGAGTTGTGACATGGCTCTGTATTCTGCCTCTGAGGATGATCTAGATACAGTGCCTTGTTTCTTGCTTCTCCAACTTATCAATCCACTTCCCAGGAATGTACAAAAACCTGTAATAGATCTTCTACTATCAGGGCATGTAGCCCAATCAGAATCACTGTAGCCTGTGATCTGTATGTTGGAGTTACTAGAATAAAATAATCCTTGCCCAGGGGCATTTTTGAGGTATCTGAAGACTCTTTGTAAAGCCTTGAAATGAACAGTTGTTGGAGAATCTTGATACTGACAGAGTTGTTGTACTGCATATGTTATATCTGGTCTGGTAGTGTTCAAATATTGTAACTGACCAAGTAAATGCTTGAACTTGCTAATGTCATGGAATGGTTCACCATCTTGGGCAGAGAGAACCTGTTTAACACTGGAAGGGGTCTTTGCAGGTTTGCATTCTTCAAATCCTGCTTCTCTTAGGAGTTCAATACAGTACTTTCTTTGGCTAACATGTATTCCACCATTAACCTTGTTAATCTCCAAGCCAAGAAAGTACTTCAGATCACCTAAATCTTTCATCTTGAAAACTGATTTCAACATTCTCTTCACTGCTTCAACTGCCTTTAAACTGATACTTCCAATAACTATGTCATCAACATAGACTATTAAGACTACAAGAGAACTCTCAACAGTGGAAAGGAATATAGAGCAATCAGCATTGGATTGCTTAAAACCATGAGCTAACAGGGTTTCAGTGAGCTTAGCATACCACATTCTGCTAGCTTGCTTCAACCCATAAAGAGATTTCTTCAACCTGCAAACTTTGCCTCTTAACTCTGGTTTCTCCTTCAACCCAGGTGGCAATTCCATATATACTACTTCATCCAAATCACCATTCAAAAATGCATTATTGACATCCATTTGATGCAAATTCCAGTTCTGAATAGATGCAATTGCCAGCAACATTTTAACAGATGTCAACTTTGCAACTGGAGAGAATGTGTCACAATAATCAATTCCATAAACTTGATTATATCCTTGGCAACTAATCTGGCTTTAAATCTTTCAACACTTCCATCAGGGTGATATTTGACACGAAACACCCATTTACAACCAATGGCTTTCAATCCCCCAGGCAAGTCTGTGATCTCCCAAGTTTGATTGTCATATAAAGCTTGAATCTCCTCTCTCATGGCAGCTTGCCAACGAGGATCAAGTAATGCTTCAGCATAGGAAGCAGGTTCAACAACAGCCATGAGAGAAAAGGCAAAATGCTGCTGTTCAGGTGACAGCAGAGGAGAGCAACAGACTTGAGCCATACTCACATAGTAATCATTATATTTAGAAGGAAAAACAATCTGCCTTGTAGATTTTCTAACAGGCTCTACAGGTGGGGAATGAGAAGGAGAGGGAGGAACTGGAGAAGGGGAAATGGGTGAAGGAGAAGGATTAGTAGAGGAAACTGGATCTGGTTGGTCATCTGAGTCAGAATCAGAAAAGGTTGCAGCAGTAGGTGAGAGAATAGGTGAGGCAGTAGGTGAAGAAGAATGCTCTACTGCAGGATTAACAACAAGGGAAGGTTGACCAGAACAAGGGTCATCCTGATGAGAAAAAGACTCCGAGTAGGAAGGGAGATTGAGAGGCTCACCTTCAGATGAACTATTATCTAAATGCTCATTGGTTTTGAATGGAAAAAGGTGTTCATAAAACACAACATCTCTACTGATAAACACATTTCTGGTGTTTGTGTCTAACAGTTTGTAACCCTTAATTCCTGTGGGAAAGCCTAAGAACACACACTTACGTGCCCTTGGATCAAATTTGTACTTATGTCCCTCTACTGCAGTAGCATAGGCTAAACATCCAAACACTCTCAAACTCATATAGTCTGGTGGAACTTTGTGGAGAATTTCAAAAGGAGTTTTATGGTTAAGAATGGGGGTAGGAGTTCTGTTAATTAGGTAGGCAGCATGAAGAATGAAATCCTCCCAATAGTAAAGTGGAAGTCCTGACTGAAATTTCAAAGATCTGGCTACATTTAAGAGATGCTGGTGTTTTCTTTCAACTCTGCCATTTTGCTGGGCAGTATAAACACAACTCATTTCATGGGAAATTCCATTTTGACTATAGAAATCTGTCATATGGAACTCTTGACCTTGGTCAGATCGAATGGTCTTAACAGATTTGGAGAATTGTGTTTTAACCATTATGCAGAAAGATTGCAAAATGGATCTGGTTTCTGATTTGGATTTCATTAGGAAAGTCCAAACAGCTCTGCTATGATCATCAACCATAGTTAAGAAGTAAAGAAAACCACTGCGAGAAGCTTTGTTTAATGGACCCCAGATATCCACATGTAAAAGATCAAAACATTCTGAACTTACAGAAGAACTTAAAGGAAATGGTAGTCTTTTCTGTTTGGACAAGTGACAAACTTCACAGTGTTTTGTCAATGGTAAAATAACCTCAGTACAGTGATTTTGAACATCTTTCATTCTAGCTAGGGAAGGATGGCCTAATCTAGCATGCCAGATGTTGGATTCTGAGGTTTGGACATGGGAAACTCCTGCTGCAAATGGCTGGTGGGCTCTACTGGACTCAAACTGCTGACTTTTGGAATGGCAAAACAGGTATAATCCTTTATCCACTTGGGCTAAACCAATCCTCCTCCGAGTAATAAGGTCCTGAATGACACAGAAATTTGATTTAAAAACCAATGAGACTGGATGATTTTGGGTTAATTTACTTACAGAAACCAAATTGTAAGTAAAGGCTGGAACAAAAAGAACTTGAGTGAGGAATAATCCACAAGGCAGACAAACAATCCCTATGTGAGTAGCTTGAACCTGTTGTCTATTTGGAAGATTCACATACACATTCTCAACTGGTTTACTTCTAATGAAGAAACCAAGGCTACAGATAATGTGATCTGTAGCTACAGTATCAAGCACCCATTCAGACTTGTGCAAAGAGTCAATCAAACCAGAATAGGGTTGTTTACCTGCTGAACTTGAACTAGCTGTGAAATGAGGAGGAACTCTCACAGCAGCATTTGCAGAAGCTTGATGTGTATGTGAAGTTGTTGTAGGAACTCTTCCTGGAGCAGCAGCTGCCAGGTGAGGTGAGGTTGGAGGTGAAGGAGATGGTGAAGGTGAGTTGGTTAACATGAGCTTCAGCTTTTCAAACTGATCTGGGGTCAAAAGACTTTGAATATTCAAATCATTCCTTGCACCAGAATTATGTGCATAGGAAGAACCCCCAGTCTCAGAAAGAGTGGTGTCCACTGAACCAGCAAAGGGCTGCTCTCCTTCTTGCCTCCTCTTGTTCTTAAGCCTGTAGCAATCCACAATTATGTGGCCTTCCTTCTTACAATACCTGCACCACTTCTTTCCTTCAGTGGTGTAGTCTCTAGGATTCTTACTAGGTTGTCCAGGCTTTGACTGGTGTGATTGACCACTAGCTAATAAAGCCAGAGAATCCACTCTTCCTTTTGTTGAACTCAGTCCTTTCATTTGTCTTTCAAGTTGCACCATTTGCTTGAAAACTGACTCAATGCTTGGCAAATGTGCATTCATCAAAACCTGAGTTCTAGCAGACTGGTAAACATCATTTAATCCTTGCATGAACTTGATAATAAAGTCCTGATCCTCATACTTCTGGATAGTGAAGAATGGACTGTTGGGACATGGACAACATGAGATAGGTCTATACATCTTATACTCCTGCCATTTTGTAGTTAAGGCAGTATAATACTGAGTAACACTCAGATCTCCTTGGACACACTTTGCAATCTGCTCTTTCAACTCATAAACCCTCATGTTGTCCTCTTGACTAAATCTGTCTTTTAGGCTATCCCATACATCCTTTGCAACTTTAAAGGCAACCACACTATTAGCAATGTCCTCAGACAATGAATTGTAAATCCAACTACGTACAGTTCCATCACATCTAAGCCATGACTGATATAATGGATCTCCAACAGCAGGAACAGGTATCATTCCATTCACAAATTGAAATTTGTTTCGGGTACTGAGAGCTACCTCCATAACTTGACTCCACAGATTATAGTTCTGATCTGTTAACTTCATAGAGATGATGGTGGTCAATCCTCCATCATGAGAGGGCAAATAGTAAGGGTTCAGGTATGGATCTTCATACTGGGGAAACCGAGGTGTGTTGGGCTGGGTCGCAAAATGCTGTGCTCCAAAAGGTTGAGCTGCAAGTGGTTCAATGCGACGTCCGGTGGGGGAGCTCTGCGAAGCAGCTTGATGATGGATCTCGTCCTCCGAAGCTTGAGTATCAGCATCGTCAGTGAGATGACCATCTGCTCTTGTTCCTTGTCCTGACATGGTGAAGCGAAATCACCACAAAAACGGCTAGGGTTTTGAAAGGGAAGCGAGACCTGGTTTTTGCCTTAACCAGGCTCTGATACCATGAGAAGAAATGTAGAAATAGGGTTTTTGGTGAAGGGTTCTCAATGATTGAGGACCTTCGTTTTCTGATTGCTTCATATATATGTACAGCTCAAGTATTTACAGAGGAAAGGTAAAGTAACTAACGGCTAAATTGAAACAGTAAAAATGGAAAATTAACTTTCTAATCTAGCCTATAGAAGCTGTACACGTATAAGGCATAAAACAATAGCAACGCCCAAGTGGAACGCTGCCGTTCTGATCCTTTGGAGCAAAGCCTCTTCCTGCCTTTGAACAAGACCAGAACGACGACGTTCCTTTCCCTTGTGCTCTGTTCTTCAACTTCAGCAGCAGCTCCTCTGCAGTGTGTGATCTTCAATCCCAAGCTGCTGCTGATGCCATCTTGGAACTGATCGATTCTTCATTAAGGAGGTCGCAGATGCCAAGGTTTTCAGATAGTCCCTTACCAGAGAGTCGCCTTGACAGTGGGAGTCGAGCGACGACCTCTTCAACGATGACGGCTAGATCTGGGTTCGTTGAGCTTTGTCCGGAGAGGGAGCTTTGGGTCGGGAGGGATGCGGTGGGAGGAGAGGGAGAATAAGAACACGACAGTGAGGGCTTTTTTCGTGAGTTTGTCGGCAGATCTTGAGGGTCGGATTCCAATCGAGAAGGACGACAGTTATGGACTGACTAGGGGTTTGATTTTGGGAGTAGATGAACAGAAAGACGTTCACCGTCCCTGGGAAACCCAGTCCTTTTGTCGGCCATGCTAAATCCCCCAGAATCCGGTAGTGTTCAGCGTCTCCGGCAGCTGCTGCGAGCTAGATCTAGTGGGTGCGGGAGCAGGAGCTTCTCCGGGGATATGTTAGAGAGAATCTCAACTAGATTCGGTGATTCCTAGCAGCAGAGGTTGTCATATTCGCCATCATCATCTCGGCTTGAGGAATCTCTGGGTAATGGGGCCAAGGCAGCAGAGCTTGGAGCTTGCCTCCACGCTGGAGAAACATTGGGGCGATAAGTGGTTCTCTCTTGCAAAAAGATCCAGCAAGATTGTCCCGGCTGGAGATTAAGAGTTCGGTTTGAAGTTGTGATTGTTAGAGTTGTGTTTGTTGAATACATGTATTGTGCACAATACAATGTTTGGAAGTGCCAAGGTGTAAAACAATGCATGGGTAGGTCCCGCCAACAATCACAAAAAAAAAAATGATGCATTATACAATCTCAACTAAAACTTGTGATTGTTGCTTTTAGATTCGTGTCAACTTTTTCTTTCCATTTATATCCCTAATAGTTTTTGTCTTATACTAAAAGTTGAGGGTAAATATGACATTTCCCCATAAAAGTAACTTTATTTAAATCAATGCATAAAGTAGAATCTCAACAACCAAACAATGTATTGTTAAAATACATCCATTGTATCAATACATGCATTTATATTATGGTGATTCATTACAATGCAACGATTTAACATTCCCAACTTCCAAACGTTCCCTAAGTGAAAATGACGAGCAATTTAGGTATGGGAAAAGAATGGTGGTGAGTTGGGTCTTGGGGTAGAAGACGAGTTAGTTTTTTTTAAGTTGGTTGGTTCAATTGGTGGGTGGTGGGTTTGTATTGGGTTGCGTTATGGTTTTAATGACCTGGCGGGTCGGGTTTAGTGTTTTTCGGGTTAAATTCAGCTGATTAGGCGATTTTGTTTGCCACCTCAGCACTTAACGGACTCAATTAATGGAGTTGGACGGAGACTAATGGAGAGTGACCAAACGTTACATGTTTTACTAAATTTAGTGACTATTATTGAAATTAAATATTTTTAGTGACCAAACATGAACGTTTTTTGTAATGCCCGTGACCAACTATGCAATTTACCCCAATAAAACCATTAGTGTGAGTTAATTATTCCAAAATGGTCATGTAACTTTTTTATTTGTACAAAATAGTTCAATAACTTTATTTTTGCAAAATTGGGCTTTTGGGCGGTGATAAATGAATGACGTGGTTGGATTTGAGCCCGGCCCACGCAAGTCGAATACCAGCCTCTCAAAGTCTCAAATCTTTTGTTTTCCGTTGGTTTTAACTTTCATCATCCACCGTATACTTCGCCAAATCCATTTCTCTTCCAATCCTCTTTTCTTCTCCCAGTGAAGGAAAGGAGCGACTGGAGAGAAGAGAGCAATGGAGTTGGCAACCAAGTTCCATAGCTCTTCCTTCTCTATCTTCAACTCCCCTAGTTACAGAGGAAAAGCCGTTGCTTCTTCTCCGTCTTCTTCCTCATCACTTCAGCTTTCCAAGCAATGGTTGGGCGCCGGCTTATCAACCCGGGCGGCTACTACGGCCAAAGCTACGCCGTCTCTGAGGTTTCTCTCGAGGCAGCGGAAGTCAATTATCAGTCCGGTGAAGTGCTCCGTTTCTCAGACCACGCCGGCAGAAACTTCCTCTGGTAAATTCCTTCTTCCCTCGTGCTAGTCTTCGTCCTTTTTAAAATTGTGATCATGTGAGTGTATATATAACTTACTGCCGAATTGTACCAGAGAAGAAGAGTCAGAGAAGAAGCGATATAAGGAACATAGCAATCGTGGCTCATGTCGATCATGGAAAGACTACTTTGGTTGATTCCATGTTGAAGCAAGCTAAGGTAACATTGACGAATTTCATTTGTAGTAGACTGATTCTTCAAATTGGCGGATGAAGCATGCCTGTTTAGGTTTAGGGCAAGCAGAGATGGTGATATGACCTTGCATGTTTGACAAATGCTTGCTGGAAAAACCCTGAATTTTGCTGCGCAGGTGTTTCGTGACAATCAATTTATGCAAGAAAGGATAATGGACTCGAATGATTTGGAGCGCGAAAGAGGGATTACGATACTGAGCAAGAACACGTCTATTGCTTACAAGGATACCAAGATCAATATTATTGATACTCCAGGCCATTCTGATTTTGGTGGTGAAGTGGAGCGCATCCTGAATATGGTCGAAGGCGTCGTTCTAGTGGTACCTTTCCTACCTTACCTACTTACCCTTGCAGGAAATAAATTTGCTGAAATGACTAACTCTTTCTTGGTTTTGGCTGTGGAATCACAGATTTGATTCTTATTGCTCTTTTCAATGGGCTCTCTGTCTCTTGCCCACAGTATTTAATATAGAATACCTTATCCAATAAATTTACCTTTCTTGCATGTTGTAGGTAGATTCTGTCGAGGGGCCAATGCCGCAGACTAGATTTGTTTTGAAGAAGGCTCTGGAGTTTGGCCATGCTGTTGTTGTTGTTGTCAACAAAATTGATAGACCTTCAGCTCGTCCAGAGTTTGTGATCAACTCCACCTTTGAACTCTTCATTGAGCTCAACGCATCAGATGAGCAGGTACTCTATGAGTCACCTTCATGATTATGTATTTTAGAAGTTCACATTGGCATGCCCTGGTTATGCAACTTCCTTTTCTTTCGTTTCCCCCCGGTTTATATTGAGAGCATCAGGGGCGAACAACAAAAACATTGAACTAATCATTAGGAGGGGAATAAAAATATTTTGGTTTTGAATTATTAAATACTAGTGATGAAAGAAAAATGCTGTCCACTTGGAAGTCTTCCCCAGAATTTGAGAAGTTCCACTCCCACAATTGTGTTGCTGATATTTTTCAGCTTTTTGGTGGTGGCATCAGGGGTGCATGTAAAGTTTGACACTAGTTGCATTGTTCTTGATCTTCTGCAGTGTGATTTCCAATCCATTTATGCTAGTGGCATTCAAGGAAAGGCAGGATTGTCTCCTGATGATTTGGCTGAGGATCTTGGGCCACTTTTTGAGTCTGTAATCAGATGCATACCCGGACCCCGCATCGAAAAAGATGGTGCACTGCAAATGCTTGTAAGTTGTTCGTTTTATCATCCTTCCTACTATGTTCTTGAGTAGCTGCCTATGAGTTCTGTCCTTTCTGTGCTGTAAATGCAATATTTTGAGCTAGCGATATGCTCGAAATAACATTTACCTCAGTCATAAGACATGTCAGCACTTTATGCAGTTAAATAGAAGTCACTATTACTTTTTATGCCACAACTTAAGGTTTGAAGGCATGAATACAAACTGGAAACCTGCTTTGCCTCCATTTTCTTAAGATATCAGACTGTGGGGCCTAAATAACCTGTTTCTTACCTCCATTTCTGGTGTTGTACCCCATTTCATGATTTAATCTAATAAAATTATTGTGGTTGTGCTTTAATTCATCAAAAGTTTCTCATTTCTTTCCTGAATATGTTGTTTAATCTGTGTATGTACTGTGTCTGCATCTTATAGGCGACGAATATTGAATATGATGAACATAAGGGGCGTATAGCTATTGGACGTGTCCATGCTGGGTCCCTCCGGAGAGGGATGGAAGTTAGGGTGAGTTTTCTCTTTCTTGTTTAACTTCTATTCTTTTCCCTGAGAAAAGTTCTTAACGAGCTTATGACCCCTGCCATTGTATTTAAAGTAACAAAACAATTGACTTGATGGAAAGAGAAGGCCCTTATGTCAGATAAAAGCTCAGTATGATTTTCTTTCTTGGTTACTTACTACCTTCAAGAAGCAGCATGTGATTGCCACCTGGTGCTTGTTTTTAGTTACTTCTAGTCTAGGGTTTTTTTTCATGGATCATGTATTATAAAAAAATGTACTTTTATTTCTTCATTCTTTAATCTGCATCTCGGTTTAATCAATTTCAAGTCAGGGAACTTTATTGACTGTGGCTTGGTTCTTATAGGTATGCACATCTGAAGACACATGCAGATTTGCAAGGATTAGTGAGCTTTTTGTGTATGAGAAGTTCTTCAGGGTTCCGGTAGAAAGTGTTGAAGCTGGTGACATTTGTGCTGTCTGCGGAATTGAAGATATTCAGGTCAGCTTTTATTGACTAGCTTCCTGCCTCATCTTGATTTTCTAACATCAAGGGAAGCTCTTTCTTATGTTTGTTGTGTACTAGTGTTTCTGATGTGTCACTATGAGCAGACTGCTAGATTTTTTCCTTATATTCAAGTAAAAAGTTGTTGCTTTTGGCAGGAAATGGCATAATTATGCTGAGATGGACTGTATTTTCGACCTGCCTTCTATTATCTAAGTATATGGAAATGTAATTGACGGTGTTAGTTTTCTAGAGTAATTTGTATGACACTGTAATTTTCTTGATCAGATTGGGGAGACCATTGCAGATAAAGCAGCAGGGAAGCCATTACCTTCTATCAAAGTGGAAGAGCCGACTGTGAAGATGGCTTTCTCCATAAATACTTCACCATTTGTTGGTAGAGAGGTCTGCTTAGTACTCTGCAATCTACAATTCTGTAGTTTCCCTTCCCAAGTATTTCCATTTTATTCTTCATTTTCATGCTGGTTCTGCCTGAAGCTTGAAATAACTCATGGCCTGTGATTCCTTATTCATTGATATTTTAACTTTTGAAAGAGTTCAAGGTATTTCTAGCATGTAATCAGTATTTGGATCTTAATTGTGATTTGTTAAGCTCTACCAGCAGATTTACTTGGTGGTTCTCCTGCTTCATTGTCTCAAAATGTTCCTTGTCTTTCTTTCTTTAAAATTTCTTGCAACTTACAGAGTTTCTGTTCTGATTGTCAGGGGAAGTATGTCACAAGCCGAAATTTAAGAGATAGACTCTTCCGTGAACTTGAGCGAAATTTGGCCATGAAAGTTGAAGAGGGTGAATCCTCAGATACTTTTATAGTCAGTGGCCGTGGTACTTTACACATCACCATATTGATAGAGAACATGTATGTATAGCCCTTTCACTTCCTCTTTAATCTTCACTAGAGCATGTAGTTTCTGAAATGCTTGCGCAATGACCCTGTTTCAGGCGAAGGGAAGGATATGAATTCATGGTGGGGCCACCCAAGGTGATTAACAAAAGGGTGGATGAGAAATTGTTGGAACCTTTCGAGGTAACTGCCATTTGATTATACTAGCCCTTTCTGTTGTTTGTTTGAAATGGAAACCTAGGACACTATAGGCATCCTTTATAACTGTTTCTTTTCTTTCTTACCCTACCATGTTCTACCCCAGGAAGTAGCCAACGTCAGTAGTCACTGTTGAAAGTTCAGTCCTACGAGTTTCCCTTTATCAATTATCCCTTACATATATGACTGTAGATTGCGACCGTTGAGGTTCCCGAAGTGCACATGGGCGCTGTTGTAGAGCTTTTGGGGAAAAGACGTGGGCAAATGTTTGACATGCAAGGAGTTGGGTAAGTGGAATGTTCGTTTGCTATAATGTTCAAGGAATTCAGAGTCCATGATGACTGCCTGTTTTTCCAGTTCTCTCAGTATATTCATAGTTGGATATGTCCGGTGGATGGCAGCAATGCTCTGCGCTTATGTTTGCTGATGTGAGTTGGAAACTTTGCTGTATTAGGTCGGAGGGTACTACATTTCTTAAATACAAAATTCCCACTCGAGGCCTTCTTGGAGTGAGAAATGCAATTTTGACTGCATCCCGTGGAACAGCAGTTCTCAACACCATATTCGATGGATACGGCCCTTGGGCTGGTGACATCAGCACAAGAGATCAAGGCTCATTGGTAATTACGACATATACATAACCTTTCTTGAAAGCAAACCCTCCATAATGGAAGAAATTGATTCCATTGTGCAATCATGTGTAGGTACAGGAAACTAATGCATGTTTGATGTTTACAGGTAGCATTCGAGGAGGGAACATCCACTTCTTACGCGATGGCTAGTTCACAGGACAGAGGCCAATTGTTCATTGGTCCTGGCGTGGATGTGTATAAAGGTCAAATTGTCGGAATCCACCAGCGATCTGGCGACTTATCGCTCAACGTCTGCAAGAAGAAGGCTGCAACGAATGTTCGTTCAAACAAAGAGCAAACAGGTAAAAATGAGCACCTACCATTAAACTATTCCTTGCAACTTCCATCTCCTTTCATCCCCATGAATTCATTTTATCATTTTAAATGTTGGTGGTGGACGCAGTTGTTCTCGACACACCCATGGATTACAGTCTGGACGACTGCATAGAGTACATTCAGGAGGACGAACTAGTGGAGGTCACGCCAGCGAACATCCGCATGTGCAAGAACCCCAAGTTCAGCAAGAAGGGCAGCAGGTGAGAGTTGTGGGCACTGATCTTCTTATACATCTGAGACAATAAAGTTGATTTTGCGAATCCTCATATTTTTCGGCAAAATTAATCCCCGGTATAGTTAGAAAGATACGTTGGTCCTTTTTCTCTCTTACTGCATGCATGTATTGCCGTTTTCACGGCCTTGGAATCAAGTCATTTCAGTGTTCTCGAGTCATCAGTCTAGGAATGATTTTACAGCATAGATCAATCTTCCACTTGGGCAGGAGGAGATGGTTGTATTTGTGTATAGAACCAGATATGTTTAGAGATGCATTGTTGTACTTGTTTGGACTTGCATCGTTTGGTACCATTATACATCAGCGCTGGAGGTTACATTTGGGGCATCCTGTTACGAATTACGATGCGTTGATTTGGTTTTCGATTCTTTTTCTCGATCATGTATGTCGTAGTTCGTCGCTCAATGAAGGTGAATTCTGTATTAAGTGTTTCTAAGATCGAGGATATGCTCAAAGTCCGACTGGTAGAGTTGATAATTTTGAGGGAAACTGTCTTGACAGCCTCCACAAGGATCGTACTTGAATCTGCGTGAAAAATATAGATGTTGTACATTGATGGTGAGACGAAAAATTGTCTCACAAGTCACAATTAGTCATCCAATTGGAGCCACGAATCGTTCTGAATTGCGATCGTGTTTGTTCTATATCGCTTGCGCTTTACAGCGTAAATTATCATAAGAACATAACCGGAACATTGAAGTTAACTTTACTTGTAATGCAAGTCAGAAGAACCGAAATTTTGGAAAAAAATGAAACAAAGGAAGAAGAAATGTATAATATTGATATATCATGTACGAAAATTTTGGGGGGGATTCAACATAAACTGTGATCCATAAACTTGACAAATTCACAGAAATCAATCCTCCCATCCCCATTCACATCAAAAGCTCTAATCATCTTCTTGCAGCTCTCCTTCTCACCTCCTTCCTTCAATCCCAACTGACACAAAACCCTCTGCAACTCTGTTTCATCAATGAATCCATCTCTGTTCACGTCAAACACGTCGAAGGCTTCTTTCACTTCCTCCAAGCTCGGCTCCTTCTCGTCAAACAACTCCAGAAGCTGATCAGCACCCATTGATTGTTTCAGCTGTTCGGCTTCTGGGTCGCAAAAAAATCCGAGCTTTCCCATCACTACCTCCACATCGTCCCTGCTAATTGCCAGAGGAGCTGGGCTCTGTTTTCTCTCCAACTTTGCCTCTTCCTTCTTCTCTTCTGCTTCCGGTACTACTATCTCTACATCAGCTCCAGATCTCAGTTGAGATTGGAGGAAAAAGGAGAGCCTGGAGAGGAGCTTGGGGAAGCTTCTAACCCGATCGAAGATCAATTTACATAGAATGATATCAAAAAACAGAGCCACCAGAGAAGAAGATTGGTCGGTCGAGAAGAGACCCTCTTGAGGAGTAATCAAGTAATATAAATGCAAGAAAGCCATTGTTATACGGCAAAAAAACAAAATGAATGATATGAACGTAGGGAGATTTTGTTTGAAACTCCTCCTTTGTTGAATGCGTTACCCTTTCTTTCTTCTGCTCTGTTCTGAGAAGAGAAGAGAAGAGAACAGAGGAGTAGTTGGTTTATGTTTGAGCTGGTGGCTGCTTGTTGAATTGGAGGGAAGAATGGACCCCGTTTGTGGTTATATACATGGCGAAGCGAAAGGGAAGAGGAAGCTGCGGCCTGCTGCAGTTGGCAGAGGGAATGGGTCATTTTTTTGCCTGTCGCCATCGCAGAGAAAACAACAACTTTGGCTGGGAAATTTCCTTGATTCTTTCTCTGTTCCTCTTCCTCCACTCTTTCAAGTCGGCCCCGTGGACTGTTAAAACCCACTCCTACCAATATGCTAAAATAATACAAATGTCTGTAGTTTTCCTAACTTTCTTTCCTTGCTCTAGTCCTCCGTGGAAATCATTGTTGATTACCCAAGTGACTTATGGCCGCCAATAAACTTATAATTCGGTGATAACAAGTGGTGGAGGCGGATTTGAAACTATCCATGTCCTCTTTTCGTATTATAAATATATAAATATTTAATGAATATAATTAAATTAATAATATATTTTCATATATAAAAAATAACTACTATTACAATCGGTATTTTCATAAACAACCATGACGAGTTTTCATATTCGGAAGAAACACACAATACATTCTTTGTCTACACACTTACGTAAGTCCTTTTCAATGGATCTCACTAAACAACCATTAGCAAACTGGTCGAGAGTTCGACTTCAAAGTTCGTTCTTCAGATAGCTCAAAGCTGAAAATATTTTATCGACATTTGCCATCAAAACTAGTGGAATCGGCGCTGCCACTAAACGTCTTCAAGATTGCTTGCAAATAATCGAATAAGCATATAAAGAAAAGAGATCTATTCCAATTGAGATTTCGTTTATTGTGTAATAATTAATTCATTGTCAATTTATGATAAATAATGACTTGTGAAATAGTAACAAAGTACAATGGTGTTGTGTTCCATATCCTTCGTATAAACATATATGAAGTATTTTTGTTCTTCCCAAAATTTACCCCTGTCCCGGGACCATGCCCAATAGGGCTGCCTCCGCCACTAGTGATAACATGCCAAGCAAAACGATTCAGCAATGATATTGTGCAAGTCTCGATGACTTTCATCAAGTTGGGAGTTTATACTGTGTTTTTTCTCCAAATAGATTCTGGAACGGAATAGTAAAAATAATAACATGATATTTGCAAGTCAATTAAGAAAAAAAATGTAAACGTTCTAGTCACGAGATACCCAATCAACGATGAGAGAGGTCATTTTTTGCCACGATATTGGCAACCCTATTGTTCTTGTGAGGATTGAGGGCATGTGTGTATGACTGTATGTTATATCAATTGCTCTAATATTTGTATTCGACTAACATACATGTTCGTGAGGGTAATCGTGTTCAATATTTCCTTACCTATTAGGAAATTGAGACTTCTTCATGTTATATTTTAATTTATTGACTCGTGTAATACGTTTTTTCAGAACTTTGTGTGTCTTGTTAAACACTAGTATTTGTTAGAATGTCCTTTTTAGCCCATTAAAAAATTTGCATAGATCATGGTGTGTTGGCAAGGAAAATGATGCAAAAGGAAGGTTGGAGGGAAGTAAGGAAGGGGAAATTAGGTGGTGGTTCAGGCTGGCATGCATTTCCATTCCATTTTCGATTATTCTATGTTGTTTTCCTACTTATAATTTCTTGCTATTTGATAGACACTTGCCAGGAATGTCCCTCCTCCTTTCTTCCTAGCTTTTTTTTCTTCTCTTTTTCTCTCCTCTTTTCCTTCCACTGACTTGGAAAATTACATAGTTGGAATTTCCTGGATATAATTTTTTTTTATTATTTATTAGTACAACGCAGGTCTCATTCATGAAGAAAATAGCCGCCGCCGGTGGCCGGTCTCTGGGGTTTTCCCAGGAAGGCGGGAGTGAGAGATTCGTCCGACGACTACGCTCAGATAGTTTTGGGCTTTTGGACTGTTGCGGGAAAGCCCAACTCTGGTGTTTTGATCCAACATCTCTATCCATGGACTTGGGCCTTTTCCATCCCGAAGCAAATCGTATCAATCACAAGCAGCCCGAATGGCCATTTGCCAAACCGACCCTGAAATAATCAAAATCCTCGTCTCCCGGTTTCTGCCTGAACGATCATCTTCCCGCTTTGTTGTGCGAAGAAGAGAAGGGAAGTGCGGCCGGAGAGCAGTTTTCTTCTCACGGTGATTGTTACTGCCAGCTGTGAACGGGGAGCGTCCGGCCGGCGTTTGATACAGTCGACTGGCTGTGGGTGATGCTCGCCGTTCCTTGAACTTTGATTTCGGCTCTTCATCACTGCTCTACTCTCCCCGGCATTCATCTTTGTTCTGTGCAGAATGTCAGGCAGGGAGGACGGCTTAATTGTCTTCTTCACATCAGTCGCAGATTCGGTCTTCCTCGTCATTTCCGTTTTATCTTTTTGGTGAGGCATTCGACTCTGTCTTCTTCGTCTGAGCAAACGGTATGTCGTTCTCACTTGCTCATTTGACTAAGCTCTTAAAGCTCTGTGCCGATACCAAAAAGATTAGAACCGGTAGAATGATCCATGCCCATCTAGTCGTCATGAATCACACCGTTGGTAAGAACTCTACGGAGGCCAACTCGTTGATTAATTTCTACTCGAAATGTGGCGATTTATCGGTTGCTCGCAACCTGTTCGATGCTTTGCCTGAGAGGAACGTTGTTTCTTGGGCTGCGCTGATGGCCGGGTATTTGCAGTCTGGGCTGCCATTAGAAGTGATTGGTTTGTTTAAAGACATGGTTTCTGAGTCTCGAGTTAGGCCAAACGAGTACATTTTTGCTACTGTTGTTTCAGCCTGTTCTGCCTGCAGAAGACTTCGGATGGGTGTGCAAGGCCACGGTCATGTTTTGAAGTTGGGATTGGTTTTCCATGATTATGTTCGAGATGCTCTAGTTGACATGTACTCCAAGTGCATGTGCATTGATGAAGCAGTTAGGTTATGGAATTCGGTACCGGGAAATTATACTTACTCCTATCAGTTGATTTTGAATGGACTTGTCGAACATGGGTATCCCAATCGAGGTCTGAAGATTTTGAGGAAGATGGTTGCTGAAGATTACGAATGGGAAGATACTGCTTGGGTTAGTGTGTTGGCGCTTTTGGCTTGTCTTAGAGATCTGAGATTGGCTAGGCAAACCCATGGGAAGTTGATTAGGAGTAATCTTGAGTGTGATATGTATGTCAATAGTGCCCTCATCAACATGTATGGCAAATGTGGGAACCCTTTGAATGCTAGCAGAGTTTTTCATGGGTTGCAAGATCGAAATGTTGTGTTATGGACATCCATCATGGCTGCTTATTCCCAGAATGAGTTGTTTGAGGAGGCATTGAATTTGCTTCCAGCTATGGAACTCGATGATGTTCGGCCAAACGAGTTTACTTTTGCTGTATCCGTGAATGCTAGTGCGGGATTGTCTACATTGAGGCACGGGTACATTTTACATGGAAGTGCTATGAAGGCTGGATTTGTTGACCATATCATTGTTGGAAATGCGTTGATCAATATGTACGCCAAATGTGGAAACATTGGAGCTGCAAGTCATATATTTTCAGGCATGAAATCTCGAAACATCATCTCTTGGAATGCAATGATATGTGGCTTTTCGCATCATGGACTTGGAAAGGAAGCCCTTCTAGCATTTGAGAACATGTTGACTGAAGCAGTCCATCCTAACTATGTTACTTTCGTTGGGGTTCTCTCTGCCTGTACTCATTTAGGTCTGGTGGACAAAGGTTTCTACTACTTTAACTACCTAATGGGACACATGGGTATAGAGCCTGGATTAGAACACTACACATGCATGATTGGCCTTCTAGGAAAAGCTGGGAAACTGGATGAGGCCAAGAACTTTATGATGATGTCCAGTATGGTAAAATGGGATGTTGTTGCATGGCGTACTTTGCTCAATGCTTGTCATATTCACAAGAACTACAATTTAGAAGAGCAGGTCGCGAAATCCATTCTCGAGATGGACCCTCATGACATGGGATCGTATACAGTGCTCTCTAATACATATGCCAGGAAAAAGAGGTGGGATGGAGTTGCCAAGATCCGGAAGTTGATGAATGACAGAAACATAAAGAAGGAGCCCGGGGCGAGCTGGATAGAGATGCAAAATGTGACTCATGTCTTTGTCTCAGAGGACAAGAAACATCCAGAAATTCTTGAGAAGGTAAAGGAACTTATTGCATTGATCAAGCCATTTGGATATGATCCCGATTTTGATGTTGTTCGGCACGGTTGAGGATGAACAGAAGGAAGAATACATTCTCAATCACAGTGAGAAGTTGGCTATGGCATACGGTATCATGAAATTGCCTTCATGAGCTCTGATCATTGTAATTAAAAATCTGAGGATGTGTGATGATTGCCACTCTGCTGCCATATTCATTTCTAAACTGACAAGGAGGTGGATAATCATTAGAGATACCAAATGTTTCCACCATTTTCAGGATGGGTGGTGTTCTTGTGGAGATTATTGGTGATTGTTGGTTGGTTCGCTCTTCGGTACTATACAAGCCTGCTACATGGTGTCATAGGCTGCTGAGAGTAGCAATTTTAGGTGATGCTATCCATGGTTACTGCTCCATTACGCGTGTAAGTTGCTCAGCTAGAGTGGTCAAAACATTCCTCACTTACTCCGACTACCTGAAGATGGAGCTAGTCTCATTGCCGCGGTCTCTAAAAGGTACTTAACTTTAATTGATTGCAGCTTATGAGCTTTACGGTTATTGAGCCTATCTTCTACTTTAATTTCATTCCACGTATGCTCTCACTTTAGGTGTTTGCTAGATTATTCATTGTTTAAAGAATCCTTCCAAGAGGTTAACAAAAGTAATGCGATTAATAGAACACCAAAGGAGCAGATCATTAATTATTTAAACAATCCTTCTAGAGGGTAACAAAATGGAAGGATATAACAAATATTGAAAAACTACCTTTCTTTCCTAGTATACATGTGTAGGAATAGCAACAAAACATCAAACAGAGTTGCATGTGTCGGGCTCTTTAATGTAATTCTAATTATTAGTCGATAATATGATTTAATTATAAATTGAGAAAATCTTTAATAATTCATCTAAATTATACCCATTCGCTGCTGCTCTGTTTAACGTATTCCTTTAGTTTCCACGGTGGCATTGGAAGGCATTTGGACGAAGTGTAACAGACGGAGAATGCTAAATTGGGAGAAACAGGGGGGGGAACAGAAAAGAGGGGTGGAAAAACTAAAAATTAGCCATTTTGTGAAGAGGCCAATTCTTTTCAACATGCACGATCGTTCCAAATTAGATAAAAAAGCAACAAAAAAGAGGGAAAAAATTAGGAAAACAATACGAAATTGAAATAGTAAAGAATTGAGTTTTGCATAGAACTTTTTGAAGGAAACAAGAGAATTAGCAGTAGTCTCTCTTTCTCCTAGGAGAAGGTCCCTCCAAGGAGAAGGTCAGAGGGAGAAAGGACCATGGAGAAACCAGTTGATTTCTGAGGGGAAAATTAGATAGGAAGGAGGGAGGAAGAAGAAGAAGAGGGGAAGGAAGGGCGGCTTTAGCGAAAAGGAAGGGAAGGGTAATGGGGTTTGACCTGCGCTAATGTGTTCGATTTGATGTTGAATTGAATTGATTTTCTATGTGAAATAAGTTTCTGGATGACTGAAACGTGTTTTCTTGTGTAGTCAAAATTCCGTTGTGTTCATCCCCTTTCAACTTCCCTCGTTTTGAACCTTCCCCCCTAACTTCCCTTCCGATTTTCTCCTCTTAATAGCAAAATCCTCAGTCATTTCCGCAGAATCTCAAAATCCCAATTCAATCCATGTCTTCTTCTCTACATAATTCGTCCCTTTTGACCTTATTTTTACATAGCTTTCAACTTCCCTGGAAATTTGAACCAGAAATTGAATATTGATAGGCATATTCCGTCTGTTTCTTGGGTCAGCTTGGTAAATCTTAAGCTCTTTGTCCCAGAGATCACAACTTGATTGACAAAATTCAGATCAATTTTATTGCCCTTAAAACTCTCTTCATCCCATTTCTTCGTTTCTATTTGTCAAATCGCATAAGCCCTTTTGATCAAAAGTCAACTCCAGATTGTGTTTTTTGTTAGATCGGATAGATGGGCAATTGTTGCGTAATCCCACTTACAAGCCACTCCAAAGAGAAGAAGAACAGGAAGAAGAGGAGCCTATTTTCTGGTAATTATGGGAATGGAGGCCACCATAAGCTGGTTGTATTGAAAGAGCCAACAGGTAATGACATTCACCAGAAGTATGTGCTTGGTGGAGAGCTGGGAAGGGGAGAGTTTGGGATCACACACCTGTGTACGGACAAGGAAAATGGAGAAACATTTGCTTGCAAGTCAATCTCCAAAAAGAAGCTCCTGACAGCTGTAGATATAGAGGATGTAAGAAGGGAAGTGGAGATCATGAAGCACTTGCCTGTGCATCCCAACTTTGTGACTTTAAAAGATACGTACGAGGATGATACTGATGTGCATTTGGTGATGGAGCTGTGTGAAGGTGGTGAATTGTTTGACAGAATTGTCGCGAGAGGTCATTACACTGAAAGAGCTGCAGCCGCAGTCACAAAGACCATTGTCGAGGTTGTGCAGGTAAACAAAGAAATTTTTATTGGTCTTCACAACTCTGATTCCATGCTTAATTAGTTTACTTCATAAATAAATAGACGATCCAAACTCTCTGGTGTCCATTATGAAGAATATCATCATTCATCAACACGAAATCTTATAGTGTGTTGGTTTCTCTGTGGTTACCGAAGTTACATATAGGTTTGCTTTTACGAGCTGGAATTTTAATCAGAAGGAACTGCAATCTTTGAAAATATACCTTAACTCTCACTTATAGTAGAATTAGAATGAGGAAATGGAAATCAGTTGTGAAAACAGAGCCGTAATTCGACGCTGCTATGTAAATAAATGGTTCTCTATCCTTAAATTTGTGGCTGACGCCTGAGAGTAGTAGATTAGGACCAGCTGGGTACAATCTTGGGGTCATTACATATCTAGATAGTGAAGCGTTGCATTACTTAGTTAGAAGTTCGTTCTTGCGATTTTACTATCATCAACTCACTGTCCTTTTCACCTTCTGCTTTAAGTTGTTGGAGAATATTCCATGAGATTTAGTTCAAAGGACAAATGATTTAACTATTTATTTTCAAAGTTAATAACTATAATAAAACACCGGTTGTAACATAGTCTTAATATTCTCTTTTCTTCTTGGACAGCTTGTATCGTGGTGAGTCTAAGGATTCATGGTGTCTTCCTACCTCTGTGTATTCTGAATGAATTTTGCACTGTTTTCTCTGGATTACCTTTTGTCAACTGCTCCTTTGTTTGACCTTTTACTGTGCTTCTTTAACCTCTTAAGTTCTGCAGTCTTCTAGGGGTACTTACCTCAATTCTGCTCCAACTCTATTCCTTCTGTGTCTTTATTATTTCCCTTTTCATGGCAGATGTGTCATAAACAGGGGGTGATGCATAGAGATCTAAAACCTGAGAACTTTCTGTTCGCGAATAAAAAGGAGACTGCTCCTTTGAAGGCCATTGATTTTGGGCTGTCAGTGTTTTTCAAGCCTGGTAATGCTTTGTGCAAAACTTGTGGCTTCTTGTTCTGCAGTTTCAGTCGTTTCATGTTCTTAAATAAAATTCTTTTGCTTCTTCCAGGCGAGAGATTTACTGAGATTGTGGGAAGTCCATATTACATGGCTCCTGAAGTGTTGAAACGGAACTACAGCCACGAAATAGATGTTTGGAGCGCTGGTGTGATACTTTACATATTACTTTGTGGTGTCCCACCCTTTTGGGCAGGTTAGTAACTTTCTGGCTCGTTGGAAGAAGGGTTTCGACTTGCACTTATATGTGATATATACATGAAATAGACTCTTCGAAGGGATACCATATTGACAAAACCGGCTACAACTATCAGTTTGCAAACATTAACTAGTTTAGCATTGGATGCTGAAGTGTTTTAACTGGAAAAATGTAACTTGCATGCTAAAAGAGTGTTACCCCTCTTGCAGAAACTGAACAAGGAGTTGCACAAGCAATCATTCGATCAAATTTAGATTTTAAGAGGGATCCATGGCCTAAAGTTTCTGATAATGCAAAAGATCTTGTAAGAAAGATGCTGAACCCAGATCCCAAGAGTCGCCTCACAGCCCAGGAAGTGCTAGGTAATGTCCAGTTCTCCGATCATGTAGACTTCTAGCTTTCTCTCGTTTGTTTTATATCTAATTTGGGGCATGTTTCTTCTCATTTTAGATCATCCTTGGCTGCAAAATGCAAAGACGGCACCCAATGTGTCTCTGGGTGATGCTGTAAAAGCAAGGCTCAAGCAGTTCTCTGCAATGAACAAGCTGAAGAAAAGAGCTCTGAGGGTAATTCTCCAAACTTTCTGAGTGAACTTTGCTTGTGCTTTGATATTTTTTAAATCAGTTGTTCGAATGCTACAAGCTACGTAATGCGATGGTATCTTATGGTGTTTTCTGTGTTTTTAAATGTTAAACAGGTGGTAGCCGAGCACTTGTCGGTGGAGGAAGCTGCTGGAATCAAGGAGGGGTTCCAGGTGATGGACACTAGCAACAATGGCAAGATTAACATCGATGAGCTGAGAATTGGCTTGCAGAAACTAGGACATCAGGTCTCTGAGGCCGATATTCAGATTCTAATGGAAGCTGTAAGTGACATGGTTATTACTTCCTCCATTTAATGTGCTCGTAATGCAAATGACTTGTCCAAGTAATATCTTTCTGTACCTGAAAACTCAATTTCCCTTAAGAGTCCACCCTCGTGATTTCCATCATATACAGGGTGATGTTGATGGCGACGGATATCTGGACTATGGAGAGTTTGTGACCATTTCGGTGCACTTAAGAAAAATCGGGAATGATGACCACCTTCGCAAAGCCTTTGAATTCTTCGACCGAAACAAAAGTGGGCACATAGAGATTGAAGAGTTGCGTGAAGCTCTGGCAGACGATGTTGATGCAAACAGCGAAGAAGTTATCAGCGCCATAATACGAGATGTTGACACAGACAAGGTGACTCTTTTAGTCTTGCATGGCCGTGCATCTGGTACCAAAGTATATACGTTAGTTATTTCCCACCTATTTCAAATGATCCAACTCGAAAAGACAACTCACTGATAAAGTTTCATAGTAACCTCAACCATTTGAACCATTTCTCAATATCCTGTCAATTCTTCTATACTCAATCATGGTGTTGGGCGAAACTTGCAGGATGGTAAAATAAGCTACGAGGAGTTTGCGGCTATGATGAAAGCTGGTACAGATTGGAGGAAGGCATCCAGACAGTACTCGCGAGAACGGTTCACCAACTTGAGCATGAAACTAATGAAGGATGGATCGTTGCAGGTGACCGAGGTATGATGGCGAAACCGATCACCATTCCTGACGGAAACCAACCTGGGGATTCTTTTCTTTCTTCATCAGGATCTTGTTTGTTTATTCATTCAGCTCATTATAAGTTTTCTATACTTGCTGGGTGGATGCGATCGTTCCTACTTCAGTAAATGTTTTGTGGTTCTTGTTCCTCATTTTCTCAAGGCAAGGATTTGTAGGACATGAAAACGAGAGTGAAAAGGGATGAAATGAGGGAGTATTCGGTTTTATTGATATATTTGGTGTAAATATGCTATGAAAAATCGAGGCAAGTACCATATATGCAAATTTGTGTCACAACTCGTAACTCGTAAGCGCTTAATGAGTGTGTTATCAGCGTTATTGTCAAGCCGTTTCATTTGTACCAGGATGTATTTTATCAGTTTAAAATTTTCGTATCCGTATTATTGTCAAACCGTTTCATTTGTTTTCGTTCATTTGACGACTCTCGTACTAAACACGTATAAAAGTCGTATAATACGTTTAATATTCGTATTTAATGAAATAAATTATTAACTTTACTATTTTTTACATATTTATTTATTTATAAATTAATTAATTTTATATATTTATGAATATTAACATACTATTAAACGTAACATAAGCTAAAAATCGAAATATAATATCCGTACGTATTTTATACATAACTTTCCGGTACTGTATTTTACTAACTATGAGATTGAGAAAAAGTTCGTATTATCTATGATCGGAGAGGTGGGCCGTGGGCGGAATTTATCGTAATGCATCCATAGCGTTGGGCCTTCTGTGCAAAAATGCCTTTTGAGCTGATAGGCCCGTTTTAATTCCTGACTTAGCTCGGGCTTGTAGGCTATACATCAACGCTGCAAATCCATGCAGAGTAGCGGCCCGAACGTAGAGGGCCGAAATACACATCACTATCATTTTAATTAAATAAAAAAAAAATCAATTGCAGAGATTGTTGGAACAAATCAATTAATTGCTTGATGAATACAGACAAATTTGTATACTTGATAGAGGCTGTCTCAACGATTTACAAATAACTCGTGAATAACAATATACGAATATGAATACATTATATATTATGATATACCTGTTGATTATGCTTTATTGAACGTGATTTTTTTTTACATCTGGACTAAGTTACGAAAGTATATGAGATTCCAAGCTATTTTCTCATTAGATTTTTCTTGTTGTTTCATACATACATGCATAGAGCATGAGATTAGTAATATAACACCCCTAACTGGACTTGGAGACGTGACTTTTCGAGATGAGTTAGTAAAATACGAGCAAAAAAAGAGCGTGAGAAAGTCATGTGAAAATCGATAGTCACGAGCGCGAGACCCCCTTTACAAACACGTCCATCCACGTGTAGATGCCTCCAAAATATGCATGCTATAGCTTCCTATCTATATATATTTGTAATCACTCAATCAACATGGATTGATTCCTTTCTCACGTTTCTCCCATAATTATATAAAATTAATTCGATCCCAATCTTTTCCCCTAGTATACCAACTTCGATGGTGACTAATCACATAAATATTTTATTTGGCAATTACTTTTTTTTGTGGATGAAAAATTCATATAACGTTCTTGTATGTTTGTGATCATTCTAGATATATATAGATATCTACTTTTGTTCTTTTGCCTGATTGCATCTTCTAGATTAATCTACTGATTAACAGCACCAGAATAAATTACACCTCAGAGATGAGGACACAGATTTCCTGCAGAATTCGTGTCACATACCCAATGGTTTCGTATGCCGCTAGCTAAGCTAATGTCAATTTCACTGACGGCCGATCCCGCCACCTCAGCATCATAATCAGACAATGTGCTTCTTAATTATTGTCTTCGGGTGGGCATTCGGTCGGTTCGGTTTCGACCGAACCGAAATTATGAATACCGGGTCCCCGAATTCTCCCAAACCCCAAACCGAATTCGAACCGAATTAAAATTCGGTTCGGTCGGTTTAAACCGAATTATAATTCGGTTCGGTTCGGTTTTATACACAAAACCGAAATTGAGAGGCTACTTGTATCTTCTCACTTTTAAATTATTTTTCACCCTTAATATAAACAATAAATATGTAATTATATGCATCATCAATGATAAAATCAAACTTTTCAACACATAAGTAATAAAACATTTCAAATATTTATGTCTAAAAACAAATACAAACATAAAAATCCACCATTTGAGCTTGAAATTACAGTATTTCGGTTTTTCGGTCGGAAATTCGGTTCGGTTGAAAGAACCCTGATTTCCGAAATATCCATATTTTCCTTCCGAATTCCGAACCGAATAGCATTAGTTCGGTTTCGGTTCGGTTTAATTCGGTTTCGGTCCGGTTCGGTTCGGGTTTACCGAACCGGTTGCCCACCCCTACCTGATTAGATGACTAATTAAGCGCCCACGTGGTCATCCGCTGTACTTAGTCCTAGACGGACTAATTTTGACTATTTCCGTGATTGATTAGCCGGCTAACGTTATTGGATTGTCCCTCCAACATTCTCAATCTTATAATATAACATCATAATAATGTACACGTATCTTTATAAACAATTTTTAAAAAAAAATGTTGCGATATCACTTTCATGTGATGCCATGTGGGATCATCTTGTTTGCCTCTCCATTGATCTATGGACCGCAATCCGAAATTCGAAACGAACACCAACCACACACGCGTGCCACTGTCATCCCTACCCATCGACATTCCTAAAATAATATTAATCTATCTTCTCAAGGCCTTCGATATCAACCAACCAGCAGCTTGGACGATGACCAAACCGGTTCGCCCTGTTTGGTTCGATCAGGCTTTTCCAGACATACATGCCCTGCCTGCAGCAATTAAAGACGTCCAGATCCATGGACTTGAGTTCGTGCATGTAGTTTTATTGATAACCGAGCATTCTCCCGCAACATGGTGGCGCCCAATAAAAATGTATTGCTTTTACTTCAAGCTTCTTCCAGGGTGGATTTTTTGCCCGTTTTGAGGCGCAGTCCAAGTTCCAAGGCTCTTGGACCGTTGTCGTTTAGGGTTCAGTGCCGCCGGCCAGCTTGACCCAATTACTACAGCTGTGGATAAGGTCCCCTGTTTCTCTGCTACAAACCTCAAGTGGATGAACTTTCTTTTAAAAACAAGTCCCAAATGGATGCAGCCACCAAACGACCACCGCCAACCACTAGGTCTCCTTGCGGCGACGTCATTGGAGAGCGGATCCAGTGACTAAGGGGGTGCTTAGTCACTTGACTAAGCCCCTCCCAACCTTTAGATCTGGACACTTCAATCCAATGGTTAAAAAGTGGGAAGGGCTATTTAATTAATGACAGGGGTAGTTTGGGTATTATGGAAAATTACGAAGTATACAAACCGGATTTACAATCAATACAAACCATACAAACATACGAACAGTACAAACTAGAGCGACAAAACATACAAACATTACAAACGTATGAACTGTACAAACAATACAAACTAGAATGACAAACAATACAAACCATACAAAAAGAAAAAACAATCGGGTTGACTTTGGAGGCTCCATCCCTATATAGAGGGGCTCCTTCCCAAAGTTAACCCGGGTGTTTTTTAGACATACAAACAGTACGAACATGGTGGACAAAAATGACAAACTAGACCGACAATCCATACGAACAGCAAAAAACACCCGGGTTGACTTTGGAGGCTCCATCCCTATATAGAGGGGCTCCTTCCCAAAGTCAACCCGGGTGTTTTTTAGACATACAAACAGTACGAACATGGTGGACAAAAATGACAAACTAGACCGACAATCCATACGAACGGGAAAAAACACACGGGTTGACTTTGGAGGCTCCATCCCTATATAGAGAAGTTCCATCCAAAAGTCAACCAGGTTGTTTTTTAGAAAAAAAAAACATTACAAACATGGTTGACAAAAATGATAAACATGGTTCACAAAAACAACAAAGTTTACGAACATTACAAAAAAACTGACAAACATTATAAAATAACAAAGCGTACAAACATTACAAAATAAACCGATAAACAGTACAAAACATACTAACCGTACAAAATGTCACTAAAAATGACAAACAATACAAACCGAATCTATACAAACATTACAAAATAGGTCAGCAAACATCACAAATCTCTCTCTCTCTCTCTCTCTCTCTCTCTCTCTCTCTCTCTCTCGAATGGCAGCAGGCCACAGCCACCAAACGACCACCGCCAACCACTAGGTCTCCTTGCGGCGACGTCATTGGAGAGCGGATCCAGTGACTAAGGGGGTGCTTAGTCACTTGACTAAGCCCCTCCCAACCTTTAGATCTGGACACTTCAATCCAATGGTTAAAAAGTGGGAAGGGCTATTTAATTAATGACAGGGGTAGTTTGGGTATTATGGAAAATTACGAAGTATACAAACCGGATTTACAATCAATACAAACCATACAAACATACGAACAGTACAAACTAGAGCGACAAAACATACAAACATTACAAACGTATGAACTGTACAAACAATACAAACTAGACTGACAAACAATACAAACCATATAAAAAGAAAAAACAATCGGGTTGACTTTGGAGGCTCCATCCCTATATAGAGGGGCTCCTTCCCAAAGTTAACCCGGGTGTTTTTTAGACATACAAACAGTACGAACATGGTGGACAAAAATGACAAACTAGACCGACAATCCATACGAACAGCAAAAAACACCCGGGTTGACTTTGGAGGCTCCATCCCTATATAGAGGGGCTCCTTCCCAAAGTCAACCCGGGTGTTTTTTAGACATACAAACAGTACGAACATGGTGGACAAAAATGACAAACTAGACCGACAATCCATACGAACGGGAAAAAACACACGGGTTGACTTTGGAGGCTCCATCCCTATATAGAGAAGTTCCATCCAAAAGTCAACCAGGTTGTTTTTTAGAAGAAAAAAAAAACATTACAAACATGGTTGACAAAAATGATAAACATGGTTCACAAAAACAACAAAGTTTACGAACATTACAAAAAAACTGACAAACATTATAAAATAACAAAGCGTACAAACATTACAAAATAAACCGATAAACAGTACAAAACATACTAACCGTACAAAATGTCACTAAAAATGACAAACAATACAAACCGAATCTATACAAACATTACAAAATAGGTCAGCAAACATCACAAATCCAACTCTCTCTCTCTCTCTCTCTCTCTCTCTCTCTCTCTCTCTCTCTCTCTCTCTCTCTCTCTCTCTCTCTCTCTCTCTCTCTCTCTCTCTCTCTCTCTCTCTCTCTCTCTCTCTCTCTCTCTCTCTCTCTCTCTCTCTCTCTCTCTCTCTCTCTCTCTCTCTCTCTCTCTCTCTCTCGAATGGCAGCAGGCCAGAGGAATGAGAGGAATAAAATGGCAGTGGGGATTATTCCCATCACTGGCCGCTGATAATAAAAGCGGCGGCGGAGCAAAGGTAAGCCGGCGGGAGGGAACACGAGGGTCACTGGGCAGGTTATTTTTAAATTAATTAAAAAATAATAAAGTAATGCAATTACTATATTGTCCTTTATTAAATTGGATTAATCTGAACCTTTGGATTTAAATGAGGTTGGATGGCTGAGATGCACTTAGTCACATGACTAAGGGGACCCCCCTTAGTCACCTGATCTTGGCCCGACGTCATTGCCTTTTTCCGACGTAGGAATGGCAACGATTAGTATCGAATAGTGAATATTAATTACTCTAGTCAAAATAATTTAAAATTGGATTATAGGTATAATATGCTCCTCTATTATGATGTTTTATCAAACATGTCCTTCTACTATTTTTTACATCAAACATACCTCTGTACTTTGAAAAAATTATCAAACATGCCCTTCTGTTAATCTTTCCATTGAAAAATCGTCAATCATGGTTGAACCGTGATTTAGACGACCCGACATCTGCAAATGAGAGAGAAAATGTCAGTTTTGTCTCTCGTTTTATTTCTCTGCGTCTCTTCACAGTGAAATTATTTAAATTATTTGGCTATACAAAAGAACCAAAAAAAATTCTAAAGTGAAATTATTAGGGATATTTTAGACATTTGCGTCACCCAAACCAAAGTTCGGCCTTTGTTAACGGGTTTTGGATGGAAATTTTAACAGAATGGCAGGTTTGATAATTTTTTCAAAGTACAGAGACATGTTTGATGTAAAAAATAGTTGAGGGACATGTTTGATAAATCGTCATAATAGAGATGCATATTTTACCTATAATCCTTTAAAATTTAACCCAAAACAACATCGACAAAGTGTTAAGGACTTAAAAGTATTATCACAGCTTCAGCGACGGCGTTTAACAAGCACTTGTGCAAGGTGCGCAATGAAGGGCTGCCTTGTGAGTTGTGACTCGGGCTCCGCTCCGCTGCGTGCCAACGATCAAGCCCATCTCGCCACCAATTGGACCCAGGCCCACGTGGGCCGGCGGACGACGTGTTACCTGCAGCTCAGAAAAATATCTTCTCTATCTCATTTCCGCCTTAAAATTTTCTCCCCAAAAATTCAATTACAGTTGTTAGGAGATAATAATCAGAAGAGACGCGATGAGTCAGAGATGACAGCGCAAAAGCACAAAGAGACCAATCAATCCAAATTCGATAGATTGTCAAAAAAAAAAAAAAAAAAAAAAATGTCAAAAAAAAAAAATCCAAATTCGATATGATGAAGCAAAAATGACGTGGCGCCATCGCCCATCGTTACCCCAATCTCGGTCTCTCAAATCGGCGGTACCAAGAGAAGTCACTATAAATAGCTCCCTCCGCCATTTTCAGTCGCAGAGAACTCGTGAGCTTCCATTATCCAGCTTAGCTTAGCATCCTATCTCGCTGACCGTAACCTCTCCCCCTTCCCTCGCCGCCTTCTTCTTTGGAGAGAAAGAAGAAGAAGAGTCATACAAGCACATCCATTGCTTTCTCTCCAAATTACATCCACCGCCTTTGTTAATTAATTCGCCTCCGTCGCGGCTTCATCAGGGACCTTGCCGGTGAGTTTTCCGGCGGCCGATTCTGCTCTGTGTTTCCGGTTTTCCTTCCTTTTAGCTCCTGTTCTGTGTATTGTGGACTTGTGGTGCGTGCTGCTGAACATTCTGGACATCTTCGGATGAAGAACTGCTGGCTGGAATTGATGGTTCTATAATTCTGTTTAGTGATATTGACAATTGACAATTCATTTCGCGATAATGAGATCTCAAACGTAATCGGTGAACAGTAATCGATCATGCACAGTAACTACGATCTATCCATTCCGAATTGAGCTGCGCTGCGAGCTCTGCTAATGGAGTTTCTGGTTATGGACTATGGTCCAGATTCAGAAACCGCTTTTAGATCCAACACCTTCTTTGCCTTTCTGCTGGCTATCTAATTTCTCGTGCTTTGCTCTTTCTTTTTCCTTTCTGTTGATTCACATTTCTTCTCCTTCTCCGATCTCTGGTTTTCCACTCGCTAAAGCTATGTTCTGGTTTCTTCAAGATACGGCCAAGCCTAGCTTTTCACTTTACAGCCTGTTTTTTTCAAAAAATGGGAAAACAAAGGAGAAACCGCCACTAGAAGAAACAAAAGAGAAAGCTGCCGCTGCTGTGCTCCAATCCCCATCTCCCACGTCCTCGATTTTTCCAGAATTTCCGGTTTTGTCCCGGAAAGATATTTCGATTTTTTCTGAAAGGGAAAAAAGGAATTAAAAAAAATCGAGAAAATGAGGTGTCTGGTTCAGTCCCCAAGTCGCGACTTACGAAACCTTGCCGTCACCAGCGTCAGCCGCCGGCGAATGAGACTCCACCAATTCCGTTTTCCTTTTTTGTTTGCTTTACCGTGGGCGGGTGGTTATTGCGTATTCCAGCGTTAACCGCCGCCGCCTTCTCTGTTGAGGGGTTTGATTACGTAGACGTAATGATGTATCTGCGCGTAAAAAGTTTGAACACTCACTTTTTCCTTCTGCATGAAGGCTCGGGGTTGGATTCCGGCGACAACGGCGGCATTTTTTTCTCCCCACTTCTTTGACCTAATTTCAAAGCGGAATTTCTGGTTCCGGCCAGTCCCGTTCGTCGAATTTGGTGGGAAATGCTACGGGTAGGAAGCCCGCGGCAGTTATGGTGGGCTGGTCTTTGTTCCGGGAACAAGTTCAGTAGCCGTCGGAATTCTCAATCAAGCTTCCACAGGAAATTGTCCGATCTTGCTACTAAACGTCCCACAAACGCTAGAAACCCCAACACCCTGCTCCTTTCATTCCATGGAAGAAACCCTAAACCTTTAGGTGCTCTTTTAAGTTTTCATTTTGTGCCGTGATTGGTTAAACATGTTCTGGAACTTGCATTTTAGTTCTTTGGTGTACGACGGGTTTGGGCTGATGTGTTTTTGGTTCAATTGTTGATGTAGATACAAGGAGCTCAACTGCAATCATGACGGTTATCCCGAAGATCTCAATTAACGATGGGAACCTGGTGGTTCATGGGAAGACCATCTTGACTGGAGTGCCTGATAACATTGTGCTCACGCCTGGTTCAGGAGTTGGGCTGGTGGCCGGCGCTTTCATCGGTGCTTCTGCAGAAAACAGTAAAAGCTTGCATGTCTTTCCCGTCGGTGTTCTTGAGTAAGTTTCAGAAATATTTTGTTATGGATATTGATTACTGTTTGTTGGGGTTTGTTTTTTGATTTAGAGTCCTATCTTGGCCTTGTGGATGCGCAGGGGTCTGCGATTTATGTGCTGTTTCCGATTCAAGCTGTGGTGGATGACCCAGCGAATGGGAACAAACGGGAAAGATATTCCATTGGAGACCCAATTTCTGCTGGTGGAAAGCAAGGGTGGTGGTGAAGGAGTTGATCAAAATGATGGCGAGACCATTTATACCGTGTTCCTGCCTCTCCTGGAAGGACAGTTCCGCGCTGTACTTCAGGGGAATGACAGGAACGAGCTGGAGATTTGCTTGGAGAGTGGTTAGTGTTTTTCCATTTTGGCAATCCATACTGTTGTCTATAGTGCTCATGTCCTGAGCCAATGTGTGTTACGATTTCCTATACTGTTGGTACATCAGTAGTAGCATATGGTGAAGATTAAGGGTAAATAAAGAGTTAGGAGGGTTGTAGTTCCAGTAGAACCGAGACGATAAAATTCTTCTTTGGTTTGCAGGGGATTCAGCTGTTGAAACCAATCAGGGTCTTCACCTTGTCTACATGCATGCTGGGACCAACCCATTTGAAGTCATCAGCGAGGCTGTAAGGTGAGGCCCGAGCCTTTGTTTTTAGCTGAAGTTGGTGGAGATCAGTGGTGCAACAGTTCCAGTTGCCATGCTTATCTCAGTTTGTAATAACTTAATTTGTTTCCTCATGGTTTAACTCATGCTGTTTTGCAAAATCAGGGGTGTTGAGAAACATATGCAATCATTTGTACATCGAGAGAAGAAAAAGGTATGGATACTTTTCTACTGAGCTTCTGTCGGTGTTGGGAAACTTCAGTTATATCGATACAGTACAGGAATTTGATGATCTGATATCTCTTGTTTGCTTCATGTAGTTGCCTGGTTTTCTCGACTGGTTTGGTTGGTGTACCTGGGATGCATTTTACACAGATGTTACAGCTGAGGGTGTTGAGGAAGGCCTCAGAAGGTAATCAAGAAACTAAGAATGTTTCAAACAAAGCTTCAGTTAGCTCTTGTTTGAACTAGTGGCGATGCTTAATAAAGAAAAAAAAATGAGAAGGCTAATCTAAACTGACTTGTTTCTGTTGATCTTGGCAGCCTATCCAAGGGAGGTACTCCTCCACGTTTTTTGATAATAGATGATGGTTGGCAACAAATTGAAAACAAAGACAAGGAGGAGAATGCAGTTGTACAAGAAGGAGCACAGTATGATCTTTCTTCCTTTTCGCTCTTCTTCTGATCGATTTCTCTATATCTGTGATTTTTGTCGGACTTTTCTATTGAAATAATTAGATCCACAAACCAAAAAAAACTTGGGAAATGAGGCTTTAGGTTTGTAGTTTTACTAGTTTCAAAAAATCATGATAAGTCACGTGACCCACGTGAAGTCCTTTTTTTGTGACATTTTTATATTCAGGGCAACCTCTGGCCTCTGGGATGTCCCCATGAGTTTCAATTTTCTTGTGATTGAACTTTTCATATCGATCTTTTGAACTATGAAAGATGTGGAAACAGTAGGCAGTTGCGTGAGTATTTAGATATGATATCACAGTTCGACTGCTAGTGTGAATTGATCGACCTTTTCTTACACTTGATCTGTGGCTGCTATCCTTGCTGATTGTTACTTCTTATAACATCTTTGGCTGACTTGGTCATTGTGATTTTCCAATCTGAGTGTTGTCTCCCCTATTTGTTGATATTATGCTGGAGGAATAAACTCTCCACTCATTTTATTGAAAAAGCTGTTCATTCACTGGTTTTTATTTTCACCAGATTTGCCACTAGGCTCACTGGGATACAGGAAAATGCAAAATTCCGAAAGAGCCATGAAAAGCATGAGGAGTCTAGAGGGTTGAAGCATGTTGTGGAAGATGCCAAGCAACATCAAAATGTCAAGTGAGTGCTCCAGCTTGTGTGTTAGTTTAATTTCCTGTATGTTGAGCTTAGAATCACTTGCTAAGAAGATAGTACTGTTCAAGTCATAGGTATAATATGATGTCTGACCCTTTTCGTTTCTATATCTTTTTCTGTGGCCAGATATGTCTATGTGTGGCATGCTTTGGCTGGGTACTGGGGTGGAGTGAAGCCAGCAGCTACCGGGATGGAGCACTATGACACTGCTCTCGCATATCCAGTTCAGTCCCCGGGTGTTCTAGGGAACCAGCCAGATATTGTCATGGACAGCCTTTCAGTTCATGGCCTTGGCTTGGTGCCTCCAAGGAAAGTTTTCAACTTCTACAACGAGCTGCATGCTTACTTGGCATCCTGCGGTGTAGATGGAGTCAAAGTGGATGTGCAGAACATTATCGAAACACTTGGTGCTGGCCATGGTGGAAGAGTTTCTCTTACACGCAGCTACCACCAAGCTCTTGAGGCTTCGATAGCACGTAACTTCCATGATAACGGTTGCATCGCTTGTATGTGTCACAACACTGATGGGCTCTACAGTGCCAAACAGACCGCTGTAGTCAGAGCTTCGGATGATTTCTACCCCCGCGACCCTGCCTCCCACACGATTCATATCTCTTCTGTGGCATACAACACTCTTTTCCTTGGAGAATTTATGCAGCCTGATTGGGACATGTTTCATGTAAGTGCACAAAAGATGTCAACTGCAGGGTTATCCTTAATATGTTATGTCTATCATGTGCAATACCTATTAGTTAGTTGAAGTTGTCAAACTGGTTTTCTGGTGGGGGTCTGATTTGGACATTTACGACTTTTTGCAGAGTTTACACCCAGCTGCAGATTATCATGGAGCAGCCCGATCAATCGGTGGATGTCCAATCTACGTCAGGTACTTCAACTGGAGTCGATTCTTTATCTGTTACTAAAGCTGAAAGCAAAATGTATTTGATTCAACCAATTGGTGGTCGGCTCTATTTGATTTGGCACCTTGGGTGCCTCGTGTTGATAAAATAAATAACTTCTCAATATTTCAATTTCACCCATAACTTGCATATTGCATCCTGATCATTTCAAAATCAGTCGCTCATTTTAGTAACTCTTCATACACCCTTGCATTTCTATTATTCGTTACAACTTGGCCAATGGACTAACTTCTATTATTATACGTTTTATGAAGTGACAAGCCAGGCAACCACAACTTCGAGCTGTTGAAGAAGCTTGTGCTCCCTGATGGATCAATTCTACGTGCTCAGCTTCCTGGCAGGCCTACTCGTGACTGCCTCTTTGTTGATCCAGCAAGAGATGGCACCAGGTAATAATCAAGTCTTTCTGCTATCTGCATCTAACATTCTGGAAGAACAGTAGTTTGGTCCTTCCCCGGACTGTTTAAGATTGCTAATTGGTGAAAAGCACCTCTCTTGCTTTTTCAGTTTGCTCAAGGTATGGAATGTGAACAAGTGCACTGGTGTGGTTGGTGTTTTCAACTGCCAAGGTGCTGGTTGGTGCAAGGTTGAGAAGAAGACCCGCATTCACAACACATCTCCTGGTACGCTTACTGCTTCAGTCCGTGCCACGGATGTCGATTCAATTGCCGAAATTGCTGGCGATGATTGGAATGGCGAGACCATTGTCTACGCTTATAGATCAGGTAATAATCCGATCTCTGATGATGCCTTGGCTTGCAAGTAAAGCTGTTTCCAGCAATACTAATATGTGAAACCATTGCTGCAGGGGAGCTGTTTCGCTTGCCTAAAGGCGCTTCAGTTCCAGTGACACTCAAAGTTCTGGAATACGAACTCTTCCATTTCTGCCCTGTCAAGGTGTGTCCATCGACCATCATCTCCATTCAGCCTCACATTGTGCCATTGAAACTCAGTTCTTACTAATGTTGATTTTGTGTTGAAATATGAATTTCAGGAGGTAACTTCAAACATCTCTTTCGCGGCGATTGGCTTGCTCGACATGTTCAACTCGGGCGGGGCAATGGAGCAGGTTGAAGTGAATAGGATGACACCGACAACAGCTGCAACCATTTCTCTCAGAGTCCGAGGCTGCGGAAGGTTCGGCGTCTACTCGTCTCGGCGCCCTGTGAAATGCAGTGTGGCGAATGTGGAGACCGATTTCGACTACGACTCGGCCACAGGACTTGTGACGGTGAATCTGCCTGTTCCAGAAGAAGAGATGTATAGATGGCCCGTCGAGTTCCAAGTTTAAGAGTTGCATTGTTTTGTTGATTGGCTAGCTGTTTGAGGATTGAAAATTGAAGATTAAGAGCCCCAGAATTTCAGCCATCGATTTGTCACTGACTGAGAGATGTGCTGATTTTAGTGTACTGTAATGTAATGCCCATGTGTTGCCTACCAATGCTTGAAGCGAAGAGTAATAAGAAAGGCTTCTGTCTTTGCTATGTAATCAGCGGGACGCAAAACGTTTCTGTTTCTCAAACCAAAAGAGAAACGTGTGGCAGAACCGTGGAACCGCTATAAGAAACGCAAAACGGACTGGAGGAAGGCTGAAACAATGACCTGTTTTGCATTCTGAAATTAAAACTGAATCGTGGTAAATTGGCGAGAAAAGGGAAATGGATGTGGGCCTATTAGGCTAGTAGTTACTGCTCCTTCCTCCACTTTCTAATGAGGTCTATTGGGCCTAATTTGTAAGCCGAAGATAGTGGGCCAAATATGGGGGCTTCTTTTCATACTGTCACGGACATAGACTTCCGAAGTCCGTGCGGCGTCTTGAGGTGCACTCATTCCTCAAGACCAGCCTCTCTGCATACGCATGCCAACTGGTTTCGCCCTGCCTTGGGCTCATTAGGGAGACGGCAATCTCCGACCAGTTGTGCCTTCTCTTGCAACGATCCCTTTCATAGCCACATCCTGACTCGGCCAGATGCGATGCACAGGCAGACAACGCCTTATCGCTAATGTCGCCCCCTTTACCCTTCTCATGGCAAGACAACCAGATGGCAGCGTTCTTCAGACGATCAACACGATCACGACATTTCGGGTCGTGACAATGCCCAATGGCCCGAAGAAAGTGGTTCTGCAGCCTGTAATTATTAATTTATTATACGATCAAGTCCGTTGTTTTTTTATAAAGTCCGTTGCTTTTTCACGAGCCGTAATCTGCATTTATAAGTTGGAACTTTTTGGACCTTAGAATTTTTTTTTTAACACAGAACGTGATTTCATTCATTCATGCCCCAAAAGAAGAGACCACAGAGGTTACAGCAAAACAGATAAAACATTGAGCACCGAGAGCCAATTTGGGTGTAAGGAATTAGATCTCATATTTCTAGCCACCCAATTAGCAACCTTGTTAAAACGACGATTGACGAAAGAGATTTTAATCCAAAAATGACTGCTGCAGAATGAAGGAGATGTGCTCAAGAATTGCAGAACATCTCCATGGCCAAGCCAACCTCCCATTCGCAAGGGCATCCACCAGGAATTTGTAGTCAGAAAAAATCACGGAAGGAACATTATCATCTTTCGCCCATTCGCAGGCTTTCAAGAGCGCAATAGTCTTTGCCTCCATTGGAGATGAACAAATGAATTTACCAGCTCTCCCATCACAAATCTGCCCCTCGGGGTTTGTAATAACAACTCTGAAAGCCGCCTCCTGAGAATCACAGATAAATGATCCATCACAGTGAAGCCTCCTAAGAGGATTGCTTGGCGGTGGTGAAGGTTGCGATATAGGGTCCCTGAGCTGGGAAACAGGGAAAAGCCGAGGAGCAGTGAACGTTGGCTCGGCCGCTTCCCTAGCAGCGTTGAATGACGTCCTCGTCGGGGACACGACGATACCTTTAAAGATGTGCTCATTTCGGGCCTTCCAAATATTCCAAAGGAAGAAGATTTTCAGACGCCGGGAATGTGTCGACTCCTCCTCCTTGAGGCCGCAAATCCATTGAGGTAAGTTATGTGGAGGAAGGGAACCTGGAAGAACCTTTGCCCATGTTTCCGTCGCATGGGAGCATCCAAACAAGCAATGAATGTCTGATTCTTCCGCCACGTCACAAATTTGGCAGCGAGTATTAGGAGCACAATTGCGACGATGGAGATTCACTTTCGTTGCCAAAGCCTTCCGGATGCATCTCCAGAAAAAAAACCGGATTTTTGGCGGAAGCTCCAAAGACCAAAGCCACTTCCAACACTCTTCAGTTGCTGGCAAATTAAGATCCTGAACTTGGTTCACAGCAGCTTGCTTGAGGTGTTTCCGAATGCCATGGTAAGCTGACTGAACCGAAAAATCTCCACAAGTAGAGAATTTCCAAGCCCATCTATCCGGAGACCCTTCTGGTCCGATGGCGATCCGAGAGATGGCTTCAACCTCCTCCGGTAGGCAGTGGTTTCAGATTAGGTCTAGGTTCCATGCCGTTCCATCTTCCGTCATCCCATCCCGAACCTTTGAAGGAGGATTAATCGGCTTTGAGACCATGTGTCCTTCAATAGGGCGAACCCAAGGATCCCTATGGAACCACGTAGCTTCTCCTGATCCGATCACTCGAATGGCACCAAGGTCCAGGGTCTTTCTTGCTTCATAGAGGCTTGACCAGATCCACAACGAAGCACTTCATTTCTTTGCCATCCGAAAATCCGATGATGGGAAGTACAGTCCACGGAGCAATCTAGCCCAAAGTGCATCTGGTTCGTTGATAAGCCTCCATCCCTGCTTAGCAAGAAGAGCGAGATTAAATAAGTGAAAGTTCCTGAAACCCAGACCACCTTCACATTTAGGATCATTGAGGACTTCCCCCTTTCTCCATGGGATTGATCGTTTCTTCATAGAGCCTGACCAGAAGAACCTCTGAAGGAGCCAATCCATTTTCTTAGTGAGTGAATTGGGCAAGAGGAAAACGCTCATGATAAAAGTAGGGATTGCTTGGATGACCGATTTAAGAAGCGTCTCTTTTCCCCCATGAGAAAGCGAAAGGGTCTTCCACGAATCTCCCTTTTTATCCATTCTCTCAATGAGGAAAGCAAATGTCTCCTTCTTTGATCGCCCCATTCCGTTGGCACCCCCAAATATTTGTCGTGGTTTATATGAGCAGGGAAACCCAAGTGAGCTCTAATTTCCGATCGAGTCTCCTCCGAAGTGTTCTTACTGAAGAACACCGATGACTTTTCCATGTTAACTTATTGGCCCGTAATGGAAGAGTAGTTGTTAACAATATTCATTATAGCTTCGGCTTCCTGTCGGGTCGCTTTTCCGAACACGACAGTATCATCTGCAAAAAGGAAATGAGAGAGACATGGGCAACTGGGTTTAAGTTTAACTCCTTGTAGAGACCCCTCGGACACTCCTTTTTCCAGTAAGAAAGAGAGAGCGTTCGATATTAGAATAAAGAGAAAGGGGGAGAGGGGGTCTCCCTGTCGAATGCCTCTTGTTGGTGAAAAAATTCCGTCGGACCCCCGTTGAGAAGGATTGAGAAGCGGACCGTGCGGACACATTCTCTCACCCACTCGCACCATCTTGGGTTGAATCCATAGGCACTAAGTAGTGTATCCAGACAGTCCCAGTCAACAAGGTCGTAAGCTTTCCTCATATCCATTTTGAGCATCATATCAAAACGACGACCTTGCTTCCGATTCTTTAAATGGTGGAGGACCTCATGCACGATTGTAATGTTGTCTTGAATCAGGCGTCCTCCAGTAAAAGCAGCTTGCATTTCCGAGACCAAATCCGGAATGAACTTCTTTAACCTGGTTTGCATAATCTTGGAGACCACCTTGTATTTAAAATTGCAACAGCTTATAGGCCTAAACTGGCTCACTGTTTCGGGCGTATGAACTTTTGGTATGAGTGCTAAATGGGTGTCATTCCAGCCCTGGGGAAGAGAGGCAGTGTCGAAAAAGGATTGGACCTCCTTGCATAATTCTTTGCCAACCGTAGTCCAAAATCTCCTGAAAAAAGCCCCAGAGTGTAACATCCCGTTTTGGCTAAAATCGTATTACTGTCGCTAGAAAATTTCACGATTTTAAATCGAGCATTTTGATAGTATTTCGACGAAAATCGGATTATTGATCGATCGGATAAGTAAACGTATTAATTATATATATATATATATATATAATTAATACAAAATAAATCATAAGCGGCCGAACCGCTTTGTTTACACTATATACATTTCCCCTGTCTATTTCCTATCATTAACCTTTCGTCCCATTCTTTCATCTTCTGGGACCGAGAAAAGCAGAGCGCACGGAGAGGGATGGAGAGAAATTTGCAGAGCTCGATTCTTAACCTATGGTGATCGAAAAATCCCGTAAGTAATGCCTAATCCATCCATTCATCGTGATTTATCGATTTAGAGCTTTAAAACGAGTTTTGGTTAAGGAATTTCTTGAATTCCCGATAAGCCAAATTAGGGTTTCGGAGTATCCGGAAGCCGGATTGAGCCCAAATTTCATATACGAGCTTCCTGCAGCGAGGTAATCAATCCTCTAGTTCTAATCCCTGAATTTCGGCAATTATTTAGGTCGGGGTCCTAATCGCTGAATTTAGCTCCGGCCAGGGTTTGATGTGTTTTTATCAAGAATTTGACCCGGAGCCTAGAACTAATATTGACGGGGATACTGCAGGGGATATTAGGACGGTCTCGGATTTTAATTCGGGGTTCGTTCGTGAAATTGACGTTTTAGTACGGGAGGCTAGAACCGGTGTTTGAACGACCAGAACTGGTGAGGGATTAGCACGGCATACCGGGTTTGTCGTATCACGATAATTATATTGATGCTTAGAATTAACCTAGGTGAACTAGAATGGCATGATTAGGGGTGTATGAACTTTTGTGCTATATGACGAACCATGGATTGTTGTATGATATTATTGACTTGCCCTAGCCGATATGGACCTTGTTTATGCTGATGATTGTGTATATGTTGCAAATTGTGGGCTTGACTGTTAATATGCTTTACAATGGTTCGAGAAGGTGATTAAGTATGTTTTTTTCATGATTGTGGTATTTGGATGCACAAGTGGGAAAATATATATCTCATGGTGATATTATGATATTTAAGGAGGATGACTTGCACGAGGGTTTATCCCGATGAAGTGCAATTATGCGACTCCTGTTTTACCTATGTTGAGCCAATTATGGCCAGGTCAAGTACATGTGCAAGTAATGAATTATGATTAAGCAAGATGAGATATGAATCATGTATAAGGATACCAAAGATGGGTGTTGTGGTCTCACGGTCAATTACATAGTAATTAGGGCTCCCTATGCTATTACTCTATTATGATATGTATGATAGTCACACCTCTCTTGTGGTGGTGACTGAAGAATTCTTATGAGATATGACCACACCCAGAGCGGTGTCGGGGTATGACTACACCCATAGTGGTGTGGGGTATGTATGACCACATCCGACGGGATGTTGGGGTATTTATGACTACATCCGACGGGATGTGGGGTATGTTTCCCGGGAGAGTTATTAGCATGGGAGTAGCCAGGCGCCTATAAGTAAAACATGATAAGATGCATATGCATGAGTCAAGGTGGTTGAGTCTTTTGCCTATTGGGATGTCGAATGGCTGAGGTTTGATCCTAGTGCTTTGGCTTGTTTGCTAGATGTATGGTAGGGGTATGCTCTGTTATGAACTCACGATGCTATGATTATCTCACTAAGCTATGAGCTGACCCTCTTTTATTCTTCTTCACTGCTTATGCTATGTGTAAGCAGATCATCAACAGCAGCAGTAGATAA